ATTGTCTCCTCTTTTTTGAATTTGGTTAAAAAATTACTCTACCAAACCAAAGTCAACAAATTTATTTTATTTTCTTCATCCGTGACTGCCCATTGTGAAATAACGCCAGTTCTCGACATTAAACAAATCGATCTGCTTTTCAAAACAAATTTTCCCCTAATAAACGATTCTCTACAACATCAACAGGGCAACTTTAACCTATAAACTATAAGCATCATTCAAAATAGTTGCAAAGACAATCAATAATCATCTTGCACATTTCATCACACGACTTACCACGATTCACCACGAAGTCGCACGCACGGTGGTCCGAGACCCCACACTTGACCATTGTTCGCCGGCCGACCATTTTGTTTCGTGGGCACATAATTAACAGACTCCCAGTGAGATCTCTGTTAGACACGCTCGGTTATAATAACCCCCGCGATGATATTTTTATTAATGTCAAAATAAAGTTGGATCGTGTTACACCGGGGTGTAATGTTGGGATTTTGTGTGGTGAACGAATCCTTGTTTGTAGGTAGGAAACATTTGATAGTATAGCCATGGACAAGTAGGGCAACTCCCACCTGTTCGGCGCATCGATACCTACACTTCTTTCGGAGTGTAGGTTTCACGTTACTATTTTAGTTGTACCTGCAGGTTGTAAACATAATTTAAAAATATTAAATTATGTTTATGTTGATAATCTTAAAAGAACTTTGCTTTTCTGGAAAATCTTGGAAAGCGTTCGTATGACGATAAATTTGTAGTACGAAAAAGAATAATCTCAATAAACATAATTTCCTATTACTCTAGTTACAAGCCAATGTCTCGTATTTTCTTACAGTACATTGTCTCGAAATAAGAAAATCATTGTGACAATTTTGAATTTAGGCATCACGTAAAAGGAAATACATTATTAGTCCGCATATCATGAATAAGAAAACAAACAAATTGCTTTGAATTCTGACGGCCAGAAGAAAGGGTGTATATAGATCCTGTCTAAGTTGACTTTTGCGTGGGAGTGCTTTTAGCAGAGACAATTTGCAACACCTTCTTTAAAATTATTTACAACCCATAGGTACAACTAAAATAATAATGTGACAACCCTACACTCCAAGCGACGACGTTTAGTAGTAGTAGAGCTCCTTGTGAAAGAGTTCGTCCAGGGAAGTACTGCCACCTTACTTATTTCTGCCGCCAAGCAGTAATGTGACCATTACTGCGCACCGACTTGGAAGGCTATTGGTGCTGGTGAAATTACAGGCATGTGGGACTTATCAACTTATGTCTCAGGGTAACGGGCGCAGTGGCAGTGCCCCTAAGATCTTTGCGATTTAAAGCTTTGAGTGTCACTGCAACTGATAGGCGTGTCGCTTATCACCAGGCGCACAACTTGTTCGTCCTGTCACTTGGTATTATAGAAAAAAAAGACGTGTAGAGTTTTATTGTACTATGCCTCAACTCCCAACATATCTTCATTAACTCTCGATTAGGAACTACACGACGGTGTGACACACAGCCCACAGGACTATAAAAGATATAGCATTTCAACCCACACAAGAAATTAGGTACCACATTAGAGAGCCGAGGTGATAATTATATTACAAAAAATCGATCCGATGATTTAATATTGTTATGTCTCGATGACTGTACGATACAAATTTTAATATGATTTTGTTGCAATTATTTTTTTGTTGGAATTGCTGATTTAATCACAATTGCCATAAGATTCAAATAATTTTTATAACATCAAATTATTGTAGGTCTATTATTATTCCCTTTTCTTCTTCTAAAAAGAGAAAAGAAATCATTGATATAAACAAGAAAGAAGAAAAAAAAACAAGTTTCATAAGCCCTGGGTTATAACCACTTTCATCGTAAATGTCACAGGAAAGGTCTTTATTATACCTTTATAATAAATATCCCATTTCAGTGTTGTACTGTTCCACATCAAGGGTGACATTGAAATGAGAATCGTTTGTCATTCCGATGTCTTTTAATTGCGCTTTATTAATTGCTTTTGAATAGAATGTATAATCATAATCATAAACCACATGATTTGTAAGAAGTTTATTGATTATCTCCATGTTTTCTTACCATGATATTCAATTATTTTTTTGCGATGTTACTCCACGAATATTTATATAACTATAATTATTAATACAAAGATCGAACACTAAGAATAATTCCTTCGATCCAGTTGGAGTCGAACCAACGCCTTCAGCACACTGTCCTCTCCCAACTGAGCTGCGGAACGAACCAGCAGACCTTACGAATTTTTCTATGTGCTTGTTGCAGATCTTTGATTTTGGTTTTAACGACTTTTTGCCGTAGCGCCATCTATGAGAAATCGATGAAAGTTTTTCTTCACTCAGGTATATTAACAGCCACATGAGTTACTTTGGATTTTTATATCTTATTTAACACATTTACTAACAGTCAAAGTGGTTAAACGAGGAAATATTACACATAATAATATTACAAAACTTCACGTCCAATTCTAATTAAGTTAAATAGATACCAAGTACCTCTAGTTGGTCAGTGGAGCTTACATTCACAAGGATAAGTAATAAAAATGCAGTAAAGCAGAAGTAGTTACATCAAGTATTAAAATTAACAAATTAATGTCCGGCAATTATTGTTTAGTGTTTTGTAATTTTCTCGTAAAAACCGCTGTGTGTGGTTCCATTTGTTTCTTTAAAATAAGACTCATATTCGACCGTCCTGAGGGATATGTACTTATAGTCTTTGTGGAAGAGCTCGTCCAGGGAAGTACTGCCACCTTACCTATTTCTGCCGCCAAGCGGTAATATAAGCATTATTGTTCCGGTTGTGAAGGATAAGTGCTGTTGAAATTACAGGCACATGGGATTTATCAACTAAGACTTAGGTAAGGAAGAACCAATGAAATCATTGACACAAAAGACTTCAGATGTTAAGAAATGTCCTAAGACCAAGAAATACGATTAGTGGTGGAGGCAAATTTACTTAAATTAACTTACACTTACCTCAAGACAGACGCGGTGGCAGTGCCCGTCAGATCTTTGCGATTTAAAGCTCCGAGTGGCACAGCAACATAACTGCAACTGCTATAAATAGGCGTGTCGTTTGGTAACAAAAAAATTATATTCATTTGTTTTTTATTATTTTTATTAGGAACAAAGATCTGAACAATTAGAAGGTCCAAATATTGGAAAGTGGTCCCCCTGCGTACAGACATTTACTTTAATACCTCTGGATACCTTCAGAAAGCAAATGCATCTACGAAACCTTAGAACATTTGTGAAGCACTTCTCAATGAGAGCTTTGATTTAAAGATCACTGCAAAAATGAGTTACCGCAACTCCGAAATTTACTTTCGGATCTCGGGATCAAGCCTTCAGACGACAGTAAGCTAGACCACAACTTATTAATGTTGTCCCTCCCTTTTCATTTCATTAGAAATCTACCTACTTCATCTCAAAAAATTACTCGTAAGTAAAAATTACAAGAAAAATTAAAGTTCAATGATTGTATTCAATTTCGATGAAATTATCAGACAGTAACCTACGTCTCGGACATTAACAAACGCACTGAGTATAAATACATTTTTTTTACATCTTCTGTGACCTAACCTACGGTTAATTCTCTAATATAGAATCTGTCAGATTAGACACGGTCATCCGGAAACCTATTAGCGTTCACTGCGCGAACGCATATTAAAAGTCTACAACATTTTGTGATTCACTGAATGGTATAAATACGTTTAAATGGTCAAGGTTCGATTCGCAGAGGTGTTTATTAAGATTTCCTTTGGCGTAGATAATTTTTTTGCCTTCCAATACATAATATATTCTAATTATATTACTAAGAAAAAACTTATCATTTATTTCTGGGACTTCTAAGTTATCATTTAATATTATAAAAAAATAAAGTGATGATAACATGGCTAAAATTCTTAGGTTCTTGGGATGCTAGATTAGTACACATTGCAAATGAAACTATTTTTTCGATCTAAATCGAGTGTAGGTATTTGTTTTTTGAAACAATCAGTCTGCTGTGACCAGTAAAGAATCCGAAACGCTGGTTTGTGTAAAAAAACGCGACTTAGATCCGATCAAATAGTTTCATTTCCATCTTGGTTAGTACCGAACTTGTTTTAACACTTTTGAAACTTAGATCCATAAGACAAAAGTCATTTGGCACTTAAGTAGATGTTAGTTAGTGGTCTTCACAAGATCAACAAGACTCCGATAATTAAGGTTCTTTTAAAACAGGCTAACAGCCAATAATAAAACTCGAGTGGATCATAAAGGTCTACAGAGAGTCAGAAGCAAAGTGTGGCAGATAGCGCCATTATCACGAACTATTGAAGGTGGCGGCGGCGGCGCGGGCGCAGCGCTCGAGGGTCCATATTAGCCCGCCGTATTTCATGAGCCGCCCGCCGAGGTGAGAACATAATAAGGGGTTCGGAGCCATTTTTAATATTCCAGCTTCATTACGACGTATTACAAACGTCTTGGGTGGCGAATTCTATCGCGAACGCTCTTAATACCACGTTATTAAGGCCGGTCGGGTTCGAGAGGCGGTCCGAAACGCCGATTTATTTGAATTTTTGCTCCGACTCAATTTGGGAAATTGTTATGTGCCGGCGGCATTGGCAAAATTAAGACGTCAGCGTGATTGCGCTGAGGCGTTTAATTATGTAAATGTTATGAGCTAGCTGCGGGTGGCGTAATCGCGTAATTGTGGCAAAGATGCGGTCACGTATGAGGACAATTCAGATTTATGATTCCGCAGCCGCCTTGAAAGATGTCGGCCGCGGAATCGAGTTCTCAGGGTAATCTTGCGCCATGGGCGATCTAATTTAGAGCTAAATAGAGACTATTTGTATTTGTTACTTTCAACTCTTTGCATTTATTGCTTGCTCGTATTGTTGTTTGCAATCCTGTACTTTAGAGGATATATTTCTTGAACCTTTCGTAATGGTACATTTTAACTTTTATTGAGCTCATTTTGTAATTATTATATTTCAGATTTTGGCCTCACACATGGAGGTGCGGTGCAAGTGTCATGGCCTGTCGGGCAGTTGCCAGCTCCGAACTTGCTGGCTGGCCACACCTGATTTTAGGGTTGTGGCTACAGCCATTAAACGGAAGTATCGAAAGGTTTGTGTTCAAACAACGCCGCAGTTTATAATTAGTTTAAGCTTCGGGGGTAGCAAATGCAATTAACTTTAACTTGATTTAATTTTGGTGACTCATTTGTCTTGTCAAAGTAGCCACAATTTGAACAACTGTGGCTACTTTTATGCAATAAACTAAACTAAACTAAACTCAACTAAACTGCAATGAATATTTATATAACTTTTTTTAACAAATTTTTATTTATTGTTAATATTTTAAATATATGTACATTGATGTATAAAAATATTAATAATCGAGAAATGTGCTCATTTCAATTAACACAGTTTTCAAGGCCCGGGTTTTTATAGTTTGGGCGCTCTTTGGCCCAAGGGTTATTTTTTTAAATATTTTGTTTTGTAAAAATATTAGTTTATTTTATACGCCCCGATACAATTATTATCATATGCCTAGCGGGCCTAGTAGTAAGTTCAGCATTGTTTATAGATCTGTCTAGTATAAATCAACTTATTTTCAATAATGTGCCAGAAAAACCACAACAATTTCTGGTCTCAAACTAGATAATTCCCTATGAGTGCCAGAACAACGGAAATCACTCCGGGGCACTCCCCGGAACACCCAGACCAGAACCAATTTGAAAGAAGTTAATTTTCTCAAATTGATGCTACCGGGAATCGAACCCGGGACCTCTGCATCCAGTGTCCATAGTGCAAACCGTTGAGCCACCAAAGTCGTCGTCATCTGACAATCATGTGTTATATTTTGAATTGGTTTTGGCCAATAATTAAATAAAATTTATTTCAGGCACTAATGGTGGCCCAAAAAGAATTGAACAAACACGAATCCTCCAAAACTGAAGTGTTGGTAAATCGACCGCGCACCAGACACAGTCACGATGAAAAGAAATGCAAGAAAGCACGGCCAGCGCCTGCCACGAGCTTAGTGTTCTTTGAAAAGTAAGTCATACCTTATGTATTTACATAGATATATGTACTTCTCTCATCGAGTATATAACCAGAAATAGAGACGAAATGAGGGCCATCGATCCCTGGCATCACGCAAATGGGCCTTATATCACTTTTAAATATCAACTCTCGTTTGCGCTGAAATCACAAATTAAAAAGCTGAAATAATACAGCGCTAACACTGACCTGTGTGTACGTCTCCGTATATTCCAAAAATATTCTGTATTTATTGTAATAAAGATAATATCTACATACAAATAAACGGGATCACATTTCATCGGTAATTAAATAATTAATTTGTAATTTTTAAATTTTCGTCCATTTAGTACCTATAGCTCAAGTTAAACTAGTCAATTTGAATTGATTCGATTTCGGGCTGACCAATCAGAGCGCAGTTGTCACCGTAATGATTTGACAGAATAGTTTTCAAACAATTACAAGACATTTCGCCTCTATTTCTGGTTATAAACTCGACGACTTATCTACATAACAAATGCTTTAACAAAGACATTTATTTCTCCACAAAACGTAGAAATCACAATAATTAAAAGGTAATATAAAATACAGTTAGGTAATGTGGACAAAAAGGTTAAAGATTGCTGATATTCAGTCTTCACTTGTAACTGTTCGCTTGATGCACCACGCTAATGTGCGGAGTGTACACCGCCAACTATACACTTTTTTTTATATTGCTAAGAAATGCGCTACGCATATCACTCGGTTCGGGGGAGCAACTAGCGGTTATGTGTGACTCCCGGGCGGTAGTCCCGTATGGGTATTGGGTATGGAGTTAACCGCTGGGTTAACTCCACCGCCATAGAGAGTAGATAAGAACGCCGCGTCGGCTCGCCGCCGCCGCCGGTTGGTCTATCATCGGCGCGCGGCACTCATATGTAATAGAGAGGTGCCCCAAGATCTGGGGCGTCTGGGCAGATGGCCCGCAGTGAGCGGGCCCAGTCCTTTCGAGGGTGCCACCACCAACTGTACCTAATTTAAGTGATACTCGTACGTTCAAGTTAAAAAGGCTTTCTGTGTAAAGTTTTCATTGGGGACTAGTTGTTCTATACAGATATCGTTTTGAATAAACACCATTTTAGCGTTTGTTACTGGTATAAATTAAACCATTCTCAATTCGTACGAACAACAATGTATTTTTAAATATGCGTGAAACACAAATACCCCTTTTTGTGAATACCAAAAATCAATTAAAAACCAAAAATCCAATGTCATGTCATCATGGGAGCCCAAAAGATCGTAGAATCGCAATAGAACAAAATCGATCTCGATCCCTTCGTTAAAAAAGTACGTTCTTTTACCGGTCAGATCTCCCAGTTTCTGCGAAGCGGACAACAGATTGGACTACTCATCCGGCACGGCAGGTCGGGTGTGTAGACCTGGACATTCATCCAGGGGCTCCTGCGATCTGCTATGCTGCGGCCGAGGTTATGACCTTGTAAAGAAAACCCAGATTAAACCCTGCAACTGCGTTTTCAAATGGTGCTGCAATGTTGAGTGCCAAAAGTGCACAGAAGTCAAGTGGGTCGCGCTTTGTAACTGATGAAAACCTGGTTTAAATCTTTGAAATTGCGAATTCTTTTGTTTCATTTTAACTTGGAAATAATTAAGGTACACAAAGGAAACTATATCAGAACGATTTTGGCACATACATTAAAAAAAGTTCACGTGCTTGATAGAAAAACACACAAGTAAATATGTATAAATTGATAATCCGTGTTTTTAATTCAATTTGTATCTTTCACTGGCAACATCATAGTATAATAAGACAAATATGGTAACTCTATAGAAACGTAGCAGCACGGGTTGTATGTGTAGGTACACGCTGGCCGCGCGCCGCCGTGTAACGCACGCACACATTCGCAAAATCTCGCGGCGCTCTCGCGTTGCATAGCTCGGGTCGCCACACCGCCATTAATTTATAGAATTGAAGCGTTCGCTCAGTGTTTAAACAATGACGTCAAATAGTATACGTGTTTATGTTGTTTACGGTAGTTTGAACAAGAGCTCATATTCACAATAGTTCAAAATTTCATTTCTATTTCATAATGATTCTCCATAATCATGATACCGATCCGCGACGCTGGTATAAGGTATTGCATTTAAGAAAGATGAATTCAGCACGAGAATTATGTTTGCAACTTGTATGTACAACTAAAGTACTAATGTAAGAATCCTACGCTCCCGAGGCATTTATAAAAGCCGAACAGGCGGAGTTGCCCTCCTTGTTCTTATTATACTATGGCAGCACAGTTTTATTAACTTGTCATTCCATTCTAAAAGACGCATAACTATTTAATTTTCATATTTTTCATTAGATTGTTAGACACCTACTGTACTTAGATAGCATCTACATTTAAAAAGTCAGTATTAAAAAAGATCACCTAACAAAAAGTATTAATTAGTATAGCTTGCTTTAATTTGTAAATAAATTCTTATCTATCCATTTTTTACATTCCAGTGCCGTGATATTTAATATTTTTAATATTTATTGTAATTTTAAGTTCTTTGTACCGTCAATTTTTGAGAAAGTAAAATAGTGAAACAATCAATTAGTGTTATTATTTTAACAAAATTGCATTCTCGTTGAAACTACGTAATAGTTTTCTGCACAAAATATATACAACAAACATATAGGTACTATGATAAGAAATTAATCCATTATTACTGATTCCTGAAACAAATAATGTAAAATACAACTTCACAGCACTACATAAATATGTTGATGAATGCATAGAACACTGAAATGTAAAGTCCAAAGATATGAAAGAAGTGAAGTGGGCTCTCAAACGGGTGCAACAATTGAATGGAAAGCGCAAATTATCCTGTTAATTCCGGATTATTTAGCCTCTTGACTCAAAAGCCTTTTGAGCTCCGACGCGTTCTTGATTTTGATATTGATACTCGTAACAAACAATGTTTTTTTGTTGGAACAAATTCACAAGAAGAGATCAGTTTCAAGAGCATACTTTTCCACTTTTTTCATTATTTCTATCTATTACGATGGTACTCGCTTGTAATATTAATAATAAAAATAGATTCATATTTTTCGGTTGTGTTCCAAATAAAAAAAAACTAACGTCCGAAATTTAACACAGTATCGAGTGTGTAATTGTCTCAGAGGCCAACGGTTTGCGCTGTGGGCGATCAACGGGGAGGTCCCGATTTGATTCCCGGCAGAACTAATTTGAGAAGTGAATTTTTCTAAATTAAGTCTGACCTAGGTGCTTTGGGTAGTGCCCTGAAGTACATTCTATTGTTCATAGTACAGGAAACTCCCTAATTTGAGACCAGGTCATAAAGTTATTTAACACATTAGTATTACCTATGATCGTGCTTTATAGCCACATATTCATGGATATTTAGCTAAAATAAATTAAGATGAACTTACTACTTGAATTTAAAAAAAAACTGACTATCATATCAAACACTTCGTTTCATAATAAATTCTAATGTATACCAAGAGCGTACCATGACAAACGTACCCAAGTTGTTGGTTGTTGCTTATGGTAAATTACTATATTGTGTGGTCGTAGTTTTTGTAAGCTATATTAAAAAAGCATAAATTAGTAGTTTTATAATACTACTTGAGGAACTAAAAACTACTTGATCAACAGGAAAATGCAGGATATTATTGGCAAAAACCTTAAGCGAATCTATAACAATACGTAATTTTGCAACAATCTAATAGGTAATCCAGTAACAGAGTAAAATGCCCGGAATACACGAGGCTAGTTTTTCAAGCTATTACAACAATCTTATGCTAGTAAGCTAGTAAATCTGGCTTCGTATATACAGAACTAGCTTAATTTCTAGGCTAGTAAGCTAATGAGGAAGATAGTAAGCTAGCGTCTCGAACTAGGATAGTTTAATAGGATGTGGTTCTATTATGCCCGGAATACACGAGGCTAGTTTTTCAAGCTAGGACAGCAAGCTAGTGCTAGTAAACTAGCAAGCTAGTAACTCTGTCCTGGCTTGGTACATGCTAAAACGGTTTACATGATGCCAGTAAATTTTAAACTTGTTTTTTATACCCTTTTCTTGTTACAGCATTCCTTTTTACTTTCGACTTTACTGATGAAATAAATTATGTGAACCGGAGTATTCTATTTTATTGCCGTGATCCTGGTCACGACACATTAGCGGTTATTATTAGTTTACAACCTCTTCAACTTATGTAAATAGTTCTCGTCCAAACGAATCTTAGGAGGGTAATCATAGGATCATACGAAACACAAAGTAGCTGCTTGCAGCACAGTGTTGAGGGGTTCCTCTCATCTGTCTGCCATTTCCATCATCAGATGAGCTCTAGGTAACCATAACATTTTATTTTTATTGGAATTACATCTTCTGTGTGCCAAGTTTTATTGACTTAAATTAAGAGGAAATTGGGAAAATTCAATAAACTTAATTTGGTCGAACGTTTTCATAAAATTTTTGATGAAAACTTTCCAACCAAAAAAAATCATAGAAACCGGTTCACAAATTAAAATTGGAATTATCGCGTAACATACACACACAAAAAAAATTAAATACTGTCGATTTCAAAACCTCCTTTTTTTTGTCGGTTAAACACAAAATCTCGTAGTGCAGATTAAAAATATTCCCGTACGAAAAAGGGATTCTCAAAGTACCGTTGCCAAAACACTTGAATGGAACAAACAAGTCGTGAAATATTTGTTTGGAATACTCGAGTGCTCTTCGACTCTTTTCATTCTATTTTCAAAGCGTATAGACCTCTTTTTCTGTTTCGCAAATTTAGACAAAGACAACCCTAGTGATTTTGTGATATAAAGTAGCAATGTTTTCATTGTGTTGAGTGTGTATTGATGTTCCGCCTTTTGGTATTATATGCGCTTGATCAATTTTGTTGAATGTAATCGATCATTTCAAGCAATTTTTTTTAGACTTTGCGAATGACGTGCGCTTGGAATTGATTTTACAGTAGGTAATAAACTTTTTCATTAAAAAAACCGACCTCAAAATTTCGTGGAATTACATCTATTTGTTAAGTTTTATTGAAATCGGTTACCGGAAAGTGCGCGAAATCGGATTCATCTTCTACTTAGCCACCCTTAAAGGTGGGATACTTTTTTCAAATTCAAATGGGACCAATACTGAGGTACCCTTTTTCCAAAAAAAAAAGAATCATCTAAAAGGGTTCACAAATCGCGTAACATATATACAAAAAAATACAGTCCGATTGATAAGCTCCTCCTTTTTTGAAGTCGGTGGAAATTAGGCAGAGAAAACTAACCTGAAATTTACCCATAAACTTCGCATCATCAATGCTGTTTTAGAATAGGTTATGATGGTTACAATCGAAAGTCACAAATATTTGTACCATCTTAACTCTTAAATTGTTGTAAATATCATAATATCTGGTATACTTTCTCGTTAAATAAACTATTATTAATTATTTACGACAATATGCACGATGACACGGTAAAAAACGGTTCGAGCACTTGCTGTAATATGTAATAATATTATAATAATGCTTTAAAACTAGTAAGTGAAACTTTACATGGCTCTATGTACTTAGGTACATACGTTACGTGGTGTATAATCGTACAAAATAATTTTACTGTAAAAGTCAAACGTAAAAAGATTTATTTAATTGCATTTACAAAATACATACTCTTGTGTGTATATTTGCCCTGCAGTGGGACAATAATGGCTGGAAAATGAAATTAAATGTATGTTACGTGTTTATTCATGCAAATGTCAGCATTTGTGAAATAACTTCGATGACCCTTTTTTTTGTTGGAAAGATGGTACCTCAGTAGCTCAAATTTGAACAAAATAACAAATTAAGGGTAGAATCCGGCTTACTGGGTTTCTCCAACTTTCCGTTAACCCGTTTCAATAAACCATGGCAAATAGATGTAATTTCACAAAACTTTGCAGTTCGGTTTTTTATAAAAAAAGTTATAATTATGTCTAAAACCATCTAAGTCTGTAGAAATAAGATCGAAGTATTGTCGTGTTATATTACTAAAAACGCGCTGCATTCACTAAAGTTTACTTCTGAAATATATTATAGCAACTGCCTCCGTGGCCGAACACTTTACCATGCTGGACTGCCACTCAGAGCTCTCGGGTTCGATTCCCGAGCTGGGAGAAATTTTTGTATGTCATAGATTTATTTCTCTCGTGAGTTTGATTTGGGTGTAATTTATAGTTTTCTGTGTGTGTGTCCATGACACCCGCGACCAGAGAACAAAAAAGTAATGAAAATGGACACTCTCCGTCCGCCCCTCCCTAGCTTTAGATACCGCATCACGCCCCGCACATAGACGGTCACATTAACTGAACAACAAGGCTTTCGGTGAGCCGTTTTCGTGATAAGACGGGTTTGACATTTGAAAATAGTTGTCATTTATTCATTATGAAACTTGTACGTTAATATACATAACATTGACTTACAATTATATGGACGTCGGGTCCGCGCTAAAAAGTGTCCGCACTTGTAAGGCGCTAAAATCGTATACAGAGCGCCAAACTCCGCTTTAGTCTTCATTTGTTCTACTGACAGCGCGATACTGCGATGACATTACAATTTAAATTTCGAATAGGTTGACTTGGGACATTTTTTCGTGGTTTTTGTATTAGACCCGTCGTCCATTTATTTGTAAGTCATGATACATAACATCATTGTACGTTACTACTTATAATGGTCGTGAATTGTACTGTGTACGAGGAGTTTCTTTCGTTTTCCGAAAAGTGAAACGAAGTAAGTAAAAAAAAACTTATGTCTGAGACTCATTCAGTTATTGTTTTCTTCATTTATTTAGTGCAGAGTAATATTTATAATACAGATTTCTTATATCAATATAGTGAGACGCCTTAAGTCCGTGACCTTATTGGACAAGGGTTCTCGAATTTTCAATTTGTATTGCCGATGATTATTACGTAGTAAATATGCCTAACTATTAATTAGCTAACCTTAGCCACGCAATTTCAAATACCTTGGTTATCTTATTTAAAAGTACCTGTCCAAAATATAACATTTTAACTGCTTTTAATATATTTTTTAAATAAATGTTCAATATTATTGTAGTTAGTGAATTAATGAAAAATATAATATTATATCTATGTAAATATTTAATGAACATGTGTAATTATTAGGATTTTATTAATAGAATTATAGATAACAGATTCGCGCTGGAATTTTCGCTATGTTGCCGCTATTAACCACGTAACGTAATAGTACGACAAAGTGATGGGTAACCCTGCCACTTGACGCACATATTTGCGCGTGTGCAGATAGCGCCTTGCTGTATGTAGTAGTAGTAGGTAAATAAGTTTCCGCCGTTGTATGGAGTGTGTGCCCACGACATAGGGTTTTCCTAGTACGAGGATATGAATGTATAGTATGAATATAGTATATATTAACGCATACTATATATTACATACTGTGACTATTTCTCGAACATGCTGTATGCTATTGCTTGGCAACGGAGTTGAGGAGTTTCTTAAGTTTAATTTCGTAATTAACCTTTGTAATGTCTAGTCAAAGTAACGGTTAGTAGATTTCAACTAAATCCAATAGTTTAACCATAATTAAGTATTTAGTCTGTTAGCACCATTTTAATCGGTATTCTTGCATCTGGCGTTTTAAATGTTTGCTAGGATTAATCGACGAAACCTGCGAAACCTCACATAGTCGTTTGTAGTATTAATTTGTTTCAAATTAAAGTGTTTTATCTGCGTGTAAGGCATCGACAAGGTCGGGTATTATGACCTAATAGCGTTAGGGGATTAGTGTGAACTTAATTCTTGAAGCCCCGGCACTTGGTAGGGCTCGAAGGGAAGTATCACTCCGATAGCAGCAGCGCAACAACGCGGTCGCTTCCACGGAGGCAGCAGGTAAGACTTTTCAAAAACCAAACCATTTTTGAGAACTGCATTGTATAAATTAGGCAATTACAATAGTAGAGTAGCCAAACATTCTGTCTGTTTTAATCAATAAGATATTCTGCGAAATTTGTTAAATTCGTGAAATCTAGAGGTCGATGAAGTCGTGCAAGTTTTGATAACAAGATTGAGTGACGTTAAAAATGAACTAAATTAACTAATTTTCGTACTTTACTTAATAATATATTGAGGTGACCCAAATAGCCAAGATGAAGGAGGGATTAAACATATTATCGTTACCGAGCCCCACCGAGAGGTACAACCTCGACAAGCAGCTGGGCTCCGGTATCTTCGGCGAAGTCTTCAAAGCATCTGACACGCAAGCCGCGGGCAAACCGGTTGCAGTCAAGATACAAGTGCTCACCGACGATAATGAACCACACATTGAGGAAGAATACAAAATCCTAAGAGATTTCACAAAACATCAAAACCTTATAGACTTCTATGGAGTATTCCTCGAGAAAGCTGAAGGCCTTAAGAAAATTTGGTTCATTTTAGAGGTAAGTGAACCTACTATCTTATTCTAAATTCTTCATGGCTTCATTGCAAAGTCTTTTAAGTAAACACCCAAACATCTGAGACACTTCAAACAATGAATCGTCTGTTTTCCAGCTTTGTGAATACGGATCTGTCATTGACATTATCAGAAAACTGAATACAGCCGAGAGAAAAATGTCCGAAGAGTACATAGCCTACATACTGAAATATACGATCAAGGTAAGCCCATATTCGATTGACTATAAACATGTCCCTCGTCACATTCGAGTCGAGATCGCTGTTTATAAAACAAAGGGCCTGCCATTCCAGCTTTCAACCGCTGAATCAATTGGTGGGTACTTTGAATGCAAACTCAATTGTTCTCCGATCTACGTCCGTGCGACTCCTTCGCGTGACGTCGAATAAATATTGTCCACAGAACGTCCACGTACGTTGAAATACTATCTAGAGCCATTACTTAAAATGCAGGCCGCTTTATTTGATGTGATGCGCGACGGAACAGTCGAACTTGTCGATGCGAATGTCGGAGCGCGCCCGACAACACCGTGATGGCCCCCCATCGCGGCGCATCGCTCAATTATCGTAAATAATGCTCGCACACACAAGATATACGGACCTCTGACGCAGTAGCCAATGATCTCTCCGGTTGCGGCCCTGCAATCAATAACCTCCTTTACTCTCGAGCTACTAAAGTTCTCATTCCGCGATAGTCTTAAATCTTTTAAGCCGAGAAAGATCCCAGTGAAGTTAAATGCGTATTATCTTTATGCATGCCACTTGGTTCACAATACTGGTGCCCTGTCGTTTTCGTTCGGCAGATCTTGAACGCATATCTATCGATGTAGCAACTCGTAAGCTACGGTCAAAGTCAGCACTAGAGTTGGCAATTAACTTATCGAGATAAGTTATGGATTTTATTTATACGGGTGATATTATTGAAAAACAGTTTATCTTGAAATTGAAGAACAAATATTATGTATTGATAATAGCACGTCGGATTTTGCAATTTGGACTTTTATTGTAAGTGGTATTGCGGTCGCAAATCTTAAGCGTAAAGGGAGACGTGCCGTTATTTGTTAAAGACACAAGCGATCATAAATATTTATATATTTAGCACATGCAACTTTTCATAGAACCGTCCCAATACAATATTGTTGCATTTCTATTACCCAAACCTCCAAAAACGACAGTCTCCTTTAAATCTTTCTAAAGACTGTATTAAGTAGGTAATTTTTCATAATAGCAATAGGGACTAAGGAGTAGACCATTACCATTTGACCATTTGTCACTAAGCCGCGTTTTAGTTAGCGAATTGCAGAATTCTGCACCAAGAAATGTACACTCGGTCTACAGATTGTGTTCTAGAGTTACTTTCTTTAATAGCCGAGACTAAATTAAAATTTTCAATTATCGATACACAACAGATGCATCGCTCATCCCTATAGGCCCAACGATTGTAATGAACGCATTAAGCATACTGATATATCAAACAGTTGAGAACGCGGACAGGTCGGCTGCGACAGCCGGGACTCCGGCGCATGCAAATAGCCTCCAATGAATCTGAGGGGCGTGGGCCATTGACTGACACTGACGTTGGCATAGCCGCGTCAGTATGTCAGTCCATTCGTCCATTCGTTCATTCCTTAGGGGCGGTCGCTCCATCACTCCACGTCAAACGCACGTGTTGACTTCTCCGATTGGTGCGATCAATTCAATCTCATCCTCGTATGTATTCTAGGCCCTCATTTACTTACACGAGAACAATGTGATCCATCGCAATGTACGATGTAGCAACATCTTGATAACGAAGGATGGAGAAATAAAACTAAGTGACTTTGGCCTATCGTGCAAGTTAAAGGAAGCGTTTGGGAAGATCAAAACGTGTATTGGATCGCCGAGTTGGATGGCGCCTGAAGTGGTGGCGAAAGGGAGTGGATACAGTAATAGGGTGGATGTTTGGGCTTTGGGAATAACGACGATTGAAATGGCAGATGGCAAAGCACCTTTTCAAGATATGCACCCGACTAGAGCACTATTTCAGATTTTGAGGAATCCACCACCTAGTTTCTTGAAGCCTGCGATGTGGACTAACGACATTAATGATTTCGTAACTGAGTAAGTATTGGTACAGTTTCTTCATCATCATCATCATGAATCCTCTATACGTTCAAACGTCCCACTGCTGGGCACAGGTTTCCTCTAAAGAAAGAGTTTAACCACACTACACAGGCACAATGAAAGACGAGGACGATTTTCAAGGTTTGTGAACCGTCTTGATTTACAGGTTTCATCAAGATGATTTCCTTCACCGTTAAGGAGAATTGTTGCTACCAAACGTTCACGAAACAGTTTATTACTAATGTATACTGTTTTATTTAATAACAATAATATGAATGGAATTTTTTAGATGCTTAGAGAAGAATCCAGAGCACAGGCCGTTTATAATGGAATTGGAGGAGCATCCTTTTATTCAATCCGTTCCTGAAAACGATTACCATGTAAGAACTAAGCAATTGTTCATAGATGTGATAGTTTACAGTAACAGAGAATTGTAATCAAACAGAATTTATTTTTTCAGCTTTCTACTGAGCTTAAGATGTTAATAGTGGACTTAGAAGATAAAGAAGTACCGAGCAAAACGCCGGAGAGAATAATTAAAAATGGCCTTCTTGTAACCGAAGGGTCTAAAGAACCTGAGACTATGCAAGTGGAAGATTTAGCAGCTTTAGAAAATCTAACAGAAGACAACATATTAAGTGAACTCCAAACCAAACTTGCGAAAGGTTGTTTTACATCATTCATTGGAGATATTCTGCTTATACTAAATCCAAATATTAATGAAGATATTTACAATGAAGCGGTAAGTAATGTTAGCACACATTCAGACAGGTATGTCAAATTATAGAGTAAACAAGTAGCGGTTTTGTGTTTTCAGTGGCACAAGAAATACGAGTGCAAATCAAGGTCCGATAATGAACCTCACATATTCGCGGTAGCTGACAGTGCATTTCAAAACGCTCTACATCATAATGAACCACAACACATTGTCTTTTCTGGTGAAAGTAAATCAGGCAAAACCACAAACATGATGCACGCATTATCACACTTAACGTATTTAGGGGCAATGAAGAATAACACAGGCGAACGAATTCAAAAAGCAACTAAAGTCATTCAAACTGCAATGACAGCAGCAACACAACTGAATGCTCACTCAACAAGAAGTATTTTTCAAGTGCAAGTAACTTATGGCAGTTCCGGTAAATTAAGTGGCGCTATATTTTGGTTATACCAATTGGAAAAATGGCGCGTATCTTCAACAGACATGTAAATATTGTTAACAATTACATATAATTTAGCATATTAATTCCTTATTTATTTACTCAATTAAAATGAATAAATTTGGTTATAGGACCCATGCAAATTTCAATCTGTTATATTATTTCTACGATGCGATGGAAAATGAGAACAGGTTAGAGTTTTTCTGTTTAGAGAAAAATAGAAAGTATCGATATTTACGAATATTAGACGAATCAATTAAAGGGTCGAAAGGTGTTCGTGATACTCCCGAAGAAAATGTAGAAAGCTACAAAGAATTTATAGACAATCTGAAAGCTTTAGAATGGGAGGAAGAGGACATCACAACGTTTGAGACTATTTTGGCTGGTATACTTGTACTTGGCAATGTCAGATTCAAAGATGGTAAATATGGTTCAGCCGAAATAGAAAATCCCGAAGAAGCCAAAAAAGTTGCGAAGCTTTTATCTTTAGATGTGGTGAAATTTCTGTGGGCGTTACTAAATTACTGCTTGATCGAAAAAGGCACTGCTGTAAAAAGAAAACATTCTACTGACGAAGCTAGAGACGCAAGAGATACTTTAGCTAGTGCTCTATACAAGAGACTAATTGATTGGATGATTAATTTAATAAATTCGAAACTATCATTTATGCGATCTGTCTTGTAAGTATTTTAACGTATTACCTACCGTCTAGTACAATAGGCATTTTAAAAAAATGCATTATACTTATCTATCATCTATTTGTAGTGGAGACAAATACTCAGTAAGTCTACTGGACATGTTCGGTTTCGAATGTTATCATAGAAACCGGCTGGAGCAACTAATCGTCAATACAACTAACGAACAAATACAATTTCTTTACAATCAACGTATATTCGCTTGGGAAATGCAAGAAGCTGCTGAAGAAGAAATTCCGGCAGTATCATTACATTTCTATGATAACAAAAATGCAGTAGATCAACTAATGGGTCGGCCCCTCGGTCTTTTTTATATTTTAGATGAAGCGAGTCGAATTGGGAGTGGACAAGAGTTTATAATGAGTAAGTTGTTTTACGACTTAACCTGTAAACATTCTCAAAATCCGACACTTTGACGAGTGAATAAATGTTTTTAGGTACAATAAGAACTTCATGTAAAGGGCCTTATATCAAACTTTCTGGAAGTCATGAATTCAGCGTCGCCCATTACACGGGAAAAGTTAATTACGATGCAAGAGAAATGGCGGACAAAAACCAAGATTTTCTGCCCCCTGAAATGATAGAAACTATGAGAGCTTCTACAAATATGACTGTACAACAGCTATTTAGAAACAAGCTAACTAAGACTGGGAATTTGACTGTATCACCAGGTCAAAGTAAGGTTACTGTTGTGCGATCAAAATCTGAAAAAGAAGCGGAGAATACAAAGGCCAGAGTTAGTAATATATTTAAGTTTACGCATACGAAAATTCTCGGTTAAACATTAACGAACATAAGTACCCTAGGTACTGAAATTTAAATGATTCTAGATAAAACGATAAATAACTATTTTCGTTTCGATTTCAGAAATATAATACAGAATCTAAGGGTCAATTCTCACAAGTACACCGAATGAGAACAGCAGCAGCTACATACCGCGCTACTAGCTTAGAGATTCTCAAACAGCTCTCCGTAGGCCCTGGAAGTGGAGGGACACATTACGTTCGTTGCGTTAGGTCAGATCTGAGTGATAACCCCAGAGGCTTCCACACTGAAGTCATTAGACAGCAATTGAGGGCTTTGGCTATTTTGGACACGGCTAAGGCGCGTCAGAGCGGCTTTTCTAGTCGAATCCCATTTGCAGAGTTTATCAGAAGGTACAAATATTAATGTCACATTGCATCATGTCACCGGAGTAACAAGCCATGTTAACATGTCGTGGAAATTTCCAGATACCGATTTCTAGCTTTCGATTTTGATGAGACTGTAGAAGAAACAAAAGACAACTGCAGATTGTTGCTCATTCGTCTGAAGATGGAAGGTTGGGAACTGGGAAAGACAAAAGTATTCCTAAAGTACTACAACGAAGAATTTTTGTCCAGGTACATAGCCTTTACCGAGTATACGAATTCAAGCGACGTTTGAATTATCCAGACTTTTCTCTAAATGAATTGTAAATTGTTCCTATTTTTAACAGATTGTATGAGACTCAAGTAAAGAAAATTGTCAAGGTACAATCAATGATGCGGGCTTTTTTGGCAAGAAATAGAGCAGCCAAAAGCAAGTCGAAACAATTGCATAGTAAGCATCGCTATCAATAAGTCAATAATAATGAGACTAAAATAATATAAATCGAAATAAAACTGAAATAAACGACACCGTTTTATTTCCAGTTAAAGAATTGAAGAAACAACAATCATTAAACGTAACAGATGACGATGCCGCCTTATTGATACAAAAGGGTATGCAATAACAACAGGTCATCTAAAAGATACAAAGACTATAGGTTAGGGTTAACTTTAAATTATTCTTTCTAGCTTACAGAGGATACATAGTGCGGAAAGCTTACGGCCCTTTAATAAATAAATCAACAGGACAAATTGATGAAGAAACATCTTCGTTTCTAAAGAGGTTTGCTATGAAATGGAAGAGCCGTTCCATTTTCCAAGTCCTTTTACAATACAGAGCAGTGCGGTATCAGGACTTAGTGCATTTCTCACAACAGGTAAAAATAACTCACTATCTTAGTCAATAATTAGGTAAAAAACTTAAACCACTGTTTAGAATAATTATGACGTATGCTCCAGAACTCCTTTGTCTTTTTTAAGTCATATTTGAAAAAAGTAATTTTAATTATAATTGAAAGGAAATATAAACAAGCTTACCTTAATTTTCAGGTCCACATTTACAATCAAGCAGTTTTAGAATCACTGACAAATACGAGCATTTCAGTATTACTGGATCGTGTGGATCCGCAATCCAATAAAGACTTCCTAGGATCAGGGCCACCTACAGTCTGGAAACTGCCTTTCCGAATCGACCAGTTGCAGTACTATGACACGTCATATATGTGTGATCCTTCCGGTAAAAGCAGGTAAGTTTGATATTCTTCAAATTACTCAAAAAATAGCAAAACTGTACCACACCAAATCGGATTTTTAACACTTACTACTGTTTGTACGCTAAAATAACGCTTGATTTCACAATTTGCGTTCTTGTCTGTCAATGGTCATTCTTTTCAGTGATACATTTGCTAATCAATACGACTCAGACCACGAACAATGGGATGAACCCCTAAAACGCCGCTTCACCTCCGTCGAACCAACAAAGACCACAGCAGGAACACAAACTCTGATCACCGTACCGTTCTGCAGAGATCCCACACAACCCGTGGCAATACTGCCCCCAGATGACAGACCAAAAACCATACGGACGCCCTCTTCAAGAGAAGATGTGAACAGACCAACGGTCTACAAGAAAAAACCAGGCTATACTCCGAATTATTACCAACCCCCCGCGCCATGGACCCCACGTGATGACACAAACATTCTAGAAAGTAGCGTACCAGTATTGCGCAAAACGAATTTCAGCAGAAGTCTCTATGGAGTTGACCAACCTGACATGAAAGATCCAATCAGAGAACTTCAAGCTTTGGCCAAATCAACCAATGACGTGAACGATGAGGATGACCCACCATTCAACTTTCAAGCTATGTTGAAGAAAACGCCTAGAAACAGAGCATCTATGAAAAGACACGGGGAGAGAGAGAATGACATTTTAGAAAACAAGACCGCTCCTCCAAAACATATTCTTTCTGGCGGTAAAAAGTCTCCAGCTCCAGCACCGCCAAGGTGCGCAAATAAAGAATTTGTACGAAGAGACTCCAGAGAACTCATAATGTCTGCAATAAAGAAAAGAGATTCCTGTAACAATTTGGCTAATGCAGTGGATAGCAAGCACAGTGGGAGAATTGTTCTAGCGCCTGGGATTACTATAGAAGGCACAGTTACGGATTTATAAAAGGAAAAGCAAATGTGTTCTGTAAAAAATATATTTAATCTCCATTGCGTTGGAAGTCCGCATACATCCCTTATTAATAATATTATGGCATAACACTTTTAAGTTTTAAAGCCATACAGTTACAATAATTCATAAGAATTTATTATTTTCCATATCGAATCAAATATAATTTATTTTTCAATAGAGTTAAGTATATCGAATACAAAATAAAATTACTTCGACTCATGGCATATAAAATACACGATGTTACTTAAAAATACACATCTTAGGAAATATCACGTTATTAATATAATATCAAAATTAAATCCACTTAGCTTTAAAATTTCTTAATCAAACATTTGCTTTGGTAACTTATTATTACTTATGAACTAAAGTGGTCAAGTTAGATCATTTTATATGTCATAGAAGATGAGTAGAAACAAAGCTAGAGACATGTAAAAAAATTAACAACTAAAACTAATGTAGTTAATAGACAACGTGTGAGAAGAACGATATAATGGCTATATGCTTCAAATAGTTCTATGATATTCCCATTGAAGGAACTAACAGTTTTTGCCAGTAGTTCTATTTTAGCAGTATCTTCAGCTCTTGTAAAGGTACTACAGGGAAAAACAGTCGCAACTGTACCTTCAAAGGAACTTTCAGGACAACCAGGAGCAAAACACAATTTTGCTCTAGTGTGCTTCAATAATATCTATACATAAGTTTATTTACTTACTATGTCTTGTTATTATTTATTATGGGCAAATTTATGTATAGTAGAAAATAACTGTTACAGGTTAGCTGGTCAAAGAAATTTTCTTAATAGAGGCCTGTTCGTTTTAAAACTTCATACATTCTTGCAAGTCATATTCTAATAGTAATTTCCATGTTTTATGTAATAATCGTGAAGCTCTTTATATTCATTTGTACAGTTTGATATGTCCCCATTTTCCTCATGTAATAGATAAAAAACTGAGCATTGTTAATTAATACCTTAGTTTTATGATCACAAAGTTGCAACTGCCTTACATTATTTCGTATAGAATATGCACTCATATATAAACAATAAAGATACAAAAATATGCGTTTCATTTCGTTCACATTTTAATTTAAATCTCAACATTTCTTTAGGCATCTTATCCAAATATTATATTTTTATATAAATCTTCATTTCCTTACAACGCATCCTTCCTTACGTTATTTCCGAATATATCTTATGATTCATTTACATCTGTGCCACATAAGCGTGTAACACACAGAGGGCGAATGCGGGTCGGGTAATGGCGGTGTCACGCGCCCGCGCTCGGTGTTGAACCCGCCGCGGAACCGACCCGACCCGCGCCCGACTTGCATTTGGTTTTTTTTTTTGTTTACGTAAATATGAAATGACACAGATGAAAATGCACAGTTAAATAACTTAACTAATATTGTTTGTCGATAATATTATAAGAGCATAGAAAAATATGTGTGTTTCTCGCTCGTCAGATCGGTAATCCGAGCAAACGGTCCAATGGGACTTTTTACGCGTTTGTCACACCAGTCTAACGAATTATATTTTTTGCTTCCATTCATACGATCTTATTAAAAAATGTAAGTCTCCATTTTTTTTTACTAAGGCGATCACAAATTTAAGACGATTTACATATTTACTTATTTAGAAGTTTTCAACTAACAATACAGTGTGTACAAAAGTCAGTTGCTCAAATGGGACAGATCAGACGAGCGGGAAACATCAAAGAATATAAAATCAGCATTTTATTTCTACGTATACGCCTAATACTTAAGCTCTATTTTCAGTCATTTAAAAAGTTCACACACAATTTATTGCAAACTAGCAAATTACTAGACTTCAGTTCCTTAAACTTTTCACATTTTTTTTTAAATATATTCCCCGAAATAATGACAGTCTTCCTGGTCACGCGACAGCAGTAGGAACTGCCTTCTTTAGCTTATCAATAAGGTTATCCTGAGATAAATAATAAGAGTTGATTTATTCAACACATGGAAGTATGACTGAGAAAAGCTTTCGCTGGCGCTTGCATAGTTAAAACAAATTATATGAAAAACCAACAGCATAGAATTGTAGATAATTGATGTTGTTTTTGGTTTTTTAATAATTTTTTGAATTGGCGGATTCCGATATAAAAATTCATAGCATTTCTTCAGACGCCATCTATGGGCACAATTTTGTACTTTGAACTTGAGAGCTTTCACTCAAATATTAAAGAAAATTAAAAAGGACCGCTCATGTGCAATGCTCAATTCAAACGCATCACATCAACTTTTGAATGCTTTATTCAGCGCTGTTGGTTTGGGATTTTTCCTCCGAAATGTAATTAATTTTAGTATAATGAAAGTAGCCTCCCCGCACGACGCGACGTACCATTCCTGTTCTGTACGTCTGACGCATGGCGTAGCCTGGGAAACAATCAGCGAGTACCTTACGCCGATCGGCAAATCCTTGCTTGGCAAGCATTATAGTATGCCATCGATAGGATAAGAAGTTTAATAAATTCAATTATAATGAAGGCAAATTTTAAACTGTGCTTATACATAAATATGGATTTCGGAATGTACACACGTAATGTAACAGACGCACTCACTGTGTGAAGATGGGATACAATTAAATAATCATTGAGTGCTACCATTCACTAAAGCATGGTTCTATATCTATCAAAATTCAGCCACGAAATTTCTGCACCTTCGAATTTTGTCTCAAACTGAGATTGCTATTGTTTGTCATGGAGTTAATCTCCCTAGTGAGCGATAATTGTATCCCTGTGGCGTAAAAGTATTCAGATTATATTGTTTTCTTAATTATTTTCCAAACAAAGGGTTAGTATACATAGAAATTATAATTATAATGAAAAGTAATTAAAATGTACAATGGACCCTACAAGGACTAATTCGTTTCTGACTTTGTATTGAGATCACCACATTTAATTTACTTATACAAATAATGACGTCGATTCAGGGAAACTAAAATTAAACTACATTTAATACAGTCTATGATAAATATCAGAAATAAATGACAGAAAATATCGATAATTTAGAAATGTCAAATTTAGGCGATCCTCATAGACTATTCCATGGTTTTTTATTAAAATTTAAACGGTCTGAAATAAAATTATACCACCTTCCTTTTCCCTTGCATAATAAAGACAGATGCACACAACGTAACATTCAGTTTGTGTTTGCCTGAATCGACCCCAATGTCACTTCAATTGCACACATAACTCAAGGTAAATAAGTCATTTCATTTATCTTGAAGAAACTAATGGCTTTATGTGATAATTGCAAATTGATCGCTATCCACAGCAAACATTATTGTGACTATAACAATACTTGACAGATTTAGGAATCATTGTTTTAAACACAAATGACCATTGACTGCAGTAACTAGCTTGACTGGTGGACAATGTCTAATAAAGACAAATTACTGTTGACTGCAGTTACTGTCTTTGCTGATGCACAATGTCTTATAAAAACAAATGACCGTTGACTACAGTTACTGTCTTTGCTGATGTACAATGTCTTATATAGACAAATGACCATTAACTACAGTTACTGGTTTTGTGGTGCACAATGTCACAAATGTTTGTTGACTGCAGTTACTGACTGCCAGTGCACCATGACATTTTTCGTAATTTGACACTTTACTTAAGAAATGCGTGCAACAAAAGAGATCAAATATTAGTGTTATCGGCAAAACATGTTTATGTAAACATACTAATTATACGTAATTAAAAAAAAATAACCTACGTGCAAATATAAAAAGTGTTTAATATATACTGACCATGTTAATAATTACGACGCATGAAGACAATGCCACTACTGACCTTAAAATCAAAATTAATTATGAAATTAAAAGCTATCGATATTGTACTATAAACAACATTCATTTCTTGTAACAGGGCAACTTTAAAATTTTGTAAGGTTTTGTTACTGTTTATCATGAATGTAATGATGCAATTTGTCACAAGTGAACTTGATTTCTATTCATAGAGAGCGTGCCTGATTAGTGTCCGGTAAGGTTTTTACGCACTTATTATTAGTGCCTGCCTAATTTTTGCGCCCTTCACATATTTATTACGTAACAATGTGAAAAAATCTTCGTAAAATTGTCCCTAACCGTAATAAGGTACTGTTTCCACCGAAAAAATTTGCCGTAACAATGTGTGTTTTTCGGATAACTGAAATATATTTAAGAAAATTTTGGCAACAATGTTTTTTTTTATAATTTTAAAGACTTTTTTATTAAAATACATGTTACTTAATAAATCTCCTAAATTCCTAAATTGACTGCTTTTCTTTACACTCAAACACACATTTTATTAAAAAAATATCTTATCATTTAATTATTGCTTGCTTTTTTGCGTTTGAATTTTGCTTTCGATTGCATTTCCTTGCATAAATTTATTTATAAAAAAATCTACTTTAGAGCTTTTCTTTATAATCAAGGCCTTTTTCTTCCATTCTAAAAGTGAAAAATCATAATTTTATATGAAAAAACCTGTTTAATATACCTGAACATATCATTCAGTACGGGTATTTTAAACCCTTCCTCGTTTAATGTTAAATATGCACTATAAAAAAAGACGAAATTAACACGCCGACGAAAACACGTCTCAAAAATATCTTTTGATACAAGGTAGAACCATTGGTTAAGAACCAAACCACACTTTCATTTCTGACAACGCTTTAAGACATTACCTTTGAAAATCCCCAGTCTCCTAATAAGTTGTCTATAATAAGACACACATTTGTTTAAAAAACAAACTCAATATTAAACCACATACCCTAATTAATCTTCTCCGTAACACTTCCATTACCGTCCATACCAACTTGTCCGAGCAACTGGGTAACACTGGGTTCATTTGAAGTGAGAACAGCATGGGCCTCTACCATAACTACAAGTGAGTTTCGTGCTTCTTCGTGAGGAACTCCATGGGTGCGGGTTGCATGAGTATACCAGGCTCCCGTTGAAGGTAAAATGGATACGCACCACTTACAAGACAATCTGAAAAGGGTGATTTTTTTTAATCAGATACATTGAATAAAATGAGTAAATAATAAAGTTGTTAGTTTGGAAAAAAATACATAGGCGATTTAGATCTGAAATAATTCAAATTCATACTCAATTAATCTTTATTTCATAGGTAAACAAACTACATTTGCAATCATCACAGTAATTAAAATCTACTACTTTTATTCGTAAGGCAGACTCCCTTGAGAAGAATGAGTAAGAAATTATGGAGCCTGCTCTTTGTAAAGAAACAAAAGAAATTGTATTAATTCCAATGTGAGGCAAACACAAACACCTAAGGACTGAGTAAGTTGATTAATCACTTTTATTACGACATCGACAGTACAAAACTCCACAAGCCCAGATCTGTTTCCTACATTATCTACGTATATCTATATACATATATACAACAAAATTATTTGAATAATTACATGAAAGTTATATTCACACATGATTATAGCATCTTCATCAACCCATTTACACTTTCCACTACTTTTTTCAAATTTTATCACAATGTTTTCCTTCACCGAAAAACTCATAACAATATATATATATATATATATATATAAAATTATATTAATAAAAATTAATGTTGGTATATTTGTTCCACTATTGTTTGTTAAGCTGCAACTTTATGGGTTTGTTATAGCTACACTCGTAAAAGTTTCTGAAGCATTACATCCCTCAGCTGTGTACAGGTCTCCTCTAAGAGCAAACAGTTTTTTCTTTCAGTGGCCTTGTACGCCTGGCACAGTGTACTATAAAATGTTATCTAACAACACCTGCAAGCATACATGTAGTATAGATGTAACAAATTGTAAAAACCATGTGGCAATATACAAATTAAGCCTACTCACCTATTTGTTATATGCCGTGATTTAACATGTCTCCTCCTGTAACCCCAGCTGTTGTACACCCGCGGACAGAACGGACAGGGAAAGGAAGGGTTTGCATAGCATGTGGCTTTATCTGAAAACAACATAGGACCAGAATAAACTCAATGTTATTACTGTAGTGAGTAAAAGATAAATCTATCAATATTTTATATATAAAAAAATAAGCAAACATCTTATCATACACTAGGCAAGTAAGGATGTGGTCATTGTAATACATTGATAAGAGTAAAATGTAGTTCAGCTAAACCTATTACATATTAAGTTGGCTATTAACTTTTAAATTCTAGAGTTTTACGTATAAATTCAATTTTTTTAAACTTAAATCAGTTAATTTTGTAATAGTATTTAACTCCCTCATGCCGCATTGAGTAAAGCATATCTAGTTATTGCGTTAATGTTGCCTATAAAAATGCATTTCCCAAGAGTTGGAGACCAGGTGACCCTTTAGGCATCAGTTTCCCACAATATGTTTATCATAGTTTAGTTTGTACTTTTATTATATAATGTAGTCTGTATGTAATGTAATGTGATTGTACGGTTTACAACCGCACATTTTTCTTCCGCTTACCTTGCGCTCTACTTTGTGCCCTACTGTCCGTGGCCTACTGTCCGTGGCTTACATACATTACATGGGCACATAAGTAGGCAAGTAATTTTAGTGTTAAACGAGCATTCATTTCATCTAGACATCCTGAGTGTTTAACGAACATTCATATGTCTTAACGTAACAACAACGTAAGAGATACACATCCTCAACGAGCCTTGTATTTTCTTACTTTATTAATAAACTTTATACTTTTATCATCTATCAATTTAAACAATTAGGCGTCAATACTATAGCGTAGTATTGGCCCCTACAGTGATGAGAAAATAAAGAATTTATTATTCATATTATTATTATTGATATGTAAACAGATTAAATTTTTGGAAGGCTTGTATTGTTTCATATATATAAGTTAACTCAATACAGCTTATAGAAAACATTATACACAGTGTCCTTTTTTATAACTATGTACCTAGCAACATTACAAGCAGGAAGAAACACAGAAATAAAACTAATTTAATAAATACTTGCACACCTACCTGATGTTTTGGAACATTTGTTATAAAGCAGTGCAAATAAACACACTTGACCCCAATTTCCAATTGTTGAATGAGATGATATGAACTATGACAGTATGCATTCATCTTAAAAAATGCCTATTCACTCTAAGCCTTAAATATAACCCTAAATTGTAATTTTTGAACAAAAAGTAAACAAACCTGTTTGGTTAAAATTCTAAAGCAATCACTCCATAAATGGAATAAGTAACACTTTCACATATATGTATTTCAAAGATTCCGACTTGATATATCATCACTTTTTGCAACAATATTCATTTCAATAGCATCGTAAAATCGTATTTGAAAAATGATAGTCCAAAAGTGAGGTTATTATTCATCTATACTTCTATGACTTGCCTACGGCTGCATAGTGCTGTTTGAAAAAAAAACATTCTGTTCAATCAATTAAAGTTTAGTAACTGATTATTAAATTGAACATTTAAATCGCAATCGAACGTGTATCTAAGTGTAAGGATTTGAAGGATTGACAGTTTAAATATGCTTATATAGGTTATGTAGGGAAAACCGCTAGTAAGACTCAATTTAACAAATCGATTCATCCAATTAATTAATCGTTTTGTAGTTGGCGTTACAATTGGCCATCATTAAGCTGTCTATGGCCGAGTCAGTGATTTGTTTACTTTTTGTTCAAAATGGATTGAAACGAAGTATAGTAGTGTGTACTGTTCCTTTGGTATACACATTAGGAAGGAGGAAACAAAGTGTTTCATGAGAATGGGTGGTATATCAAGAACATTTATGAAAATCAATACCTTTACAGTTCTGAGCTTCACTGGACACGGAATTTAGGTTCCCAGTAGTAATACTTAATGACTCTACAATTGTTCCACTCTGCAACACAGTTTCGACTTCTTTGTCAATTTCAATACTGTCCTTATCATCATCTAGGGAATCTGTACCATTCGCCTTTTCACATAAATTCAAGCCTGGTTGAGTACTGCTAACTTCATTTATCCACTTTTTGAGATGTTGCTCATTTGAAGCAGTGTGTGTAAATTTGCCTGTCAGTATCTCTGGGCTTACAAGGAATTTTTTATCTACTGGGTCATCAAGCAGAGCTATATCTGTATCATTTGTATTCTCTCCTGAATAGTCTGTTAAAGGAGAGTCCACTGGTTCTTCTTTTGGAACTATATTCTGTAATAACACATCAAATAAAGTATTAAATAAAAAACAATCTTCTTTGTAACTTCATGTGCTTTTTTCAGTTATAAATATGTTCAAATGACCCAATTTATGAGAGCTGGGGGATTGATGGTAACTTATTTATGAGTCCAAGTATTATATAACAGTTACATTATAGAAAGTATATAAATTAAATGCTTACAGTGAGGTTAGGGCAGTCCAAACTCCCAGTGTCAAATTTAGGTACAGATAGGGCCATTTTTTTAATTTTATTATTGTTATCCTCTTCACTCTTTTTACGCTTCTTAGGCTGAGTTGCGGGTTTCTGTAAAGAAGAAAAGAATTAAAGCACTTTCTTCTAAAAGACTATTCATGATCACCACACACATTTGCGCAAATGTTAACAATCATAGTGATGTTTTAATAGCAGTACAGCTCCTTGTCCTTGTTTGTCCAGGGAAGTACTGCCACCTTACCTATTTCTACTGCCACACAGTAATGTTAGCATTACTGTGTTTCGATTTTGAAGGGTGATCATTGAGATTTAGAGCTCTGAGTGGCACTTCAACTACAATGGACAGGCATATCGCACGACTTGTTCGTCCTGTTACTAAGTATTGTGAAAAGAATGTTGCTGACGCATAACAAGGATATGCTACTATGTGTACTATGTTTATAAATCGCAGCGTTATCCCTCTTACCTCGTCATCACGTTTGGTTTCGTTTCCCGTAGACAGCCCGCATATTCTCAACACTTCTGCAGTCTTTAGTAGCATAGGCAAGAATTCCTCAGTCACATTCACCTCGCCGTTGTACATAAACGTCAACAAAGTCCGCAGGGAGGCCGTGTTGATGTCATGTAGCACTATAATTGGATCTTTGTGGGGGTTTTGCTGCAAAAAAATCGAGTGGGCGTACAAAATCAACCCATACAAAAACGACAAATCATTGCTACAAAATCTAGTATTAAAGCTTCAATACCTGGAATATGTTCCTGAAAACTGAACTATTCGCTGAAAGAATCACTTTATGAGCTTTGAAACTATGTCCTTCCGAAACAAGTGTAACATCTGATAAGCCCTCATCTTTGAACAACTCCTTCACATTAGACAGTATATTGTTCTGATATCCATTCCACTTCAAGCTTATCTCTTGATTTGACATCTTTTACAGCAATAAAGCATACACAAAGCTTGTAAAATTAAAATAAATGAAAGAAAAATAATCACGAAAATGCAAAACGCAGAATGAAAGCAAACAGTCGATGTTACTGCTACAAAAAAATGCAAGTCTTTTACAGATCACTGTTCATAATAGTTACAAAATGAAACTAGTATTAATTAATACAAATAACTGCAAGTAACTTTTATAATAAATTTATCTGAATTAGTATGGAAAAATACCGAATATTGAATATGGATATAATAAATTAAACATTGTTGAATTAATAATAATCTGTGTGTTTGCTCTTTACCATTAAAAGCATAATTAATAAAGCACTGCTACACGTAATATTCAATATGGAGCATTCAATCATTTGTTTCATTTGTATTTTTTAAATCGCAACACACACATTTGTGCTTATCAACCATAGACCGTAAATTTCATTCATCATTACAAACTAATAAATATTTTTACGTAACTGCGTGAGCCTTTCCGACAACATGACTTAAGGATCATTATAAAATTTACTTGAACATGAATTTAATTTTAGAAAAGATAATTACCATAATTTTAATTAATTTGTTTACCATTCATTTTATTCCGTCCTTTAGGATTAGTATGAGTTACGTTCTATGATAGTATTTTGCAAGCGCTTACAATGGTGAGCATTTAATAGTAGTTTAAAAGTAGCGTAAATAGATGCTCTTAGCTGTTTATTTGATACTACGCTATTTACTCTGTGCCTTCATAGTATTACTGATATCCTCTGACTTCAACGACTTTCAGCTCCTAGTTCCCAACAGTATTTTCTGGGGAAAATGAAATACCCATAATGTAAATAAAATATTTAGTCGAATAACACAAGGACGATTGATAGTATGGCGGCATCGGCAGGCATTATTTTCTTCTCTTCTATAACCGATTTTTAAAAAAGGAGGAGTTTCTCAATTCGACTGTATTTCTTTTTGTATACACTTGGCATTTATGAACCGATATTTTATTTTATTTTTTTTTTATTTATTAATGGTAAACTAGAAGTATGTACATTTATAACGACGATTATTAAAAAAAAATGGTAATGAAAAGCATTAAATTTAAAATAACTCATTTTATAAAAAAACATCCCTAATAATTGTCAAAACAGGTCAATGCCTCAATAATCCTAATAAGTAAATAACATTAGGGATCTCAATACTAAGAAGTATTACTAAATTCTTACATTGTCGTCACAGCATTTATATAAAAAAAGTATGAAAAATTAATATGCGGAATTATCCTTTCAGCGCAGAATACTAAAAAAATCGACCTCAAAAGTCCGTGGAATTACATCTATTTGCCAAGTTTTATTAGAATCGGTTACTGGAAAGTACGCGAAACCGGATTCATCCCTTAGTTTGCCACCCTTACAGGTGGAATATTTCCTTCAAAAACCTTCTTTCCAACAAAAAATAAACAAAAACATGCAGACGAACTGATCAGCACCTTTTTTGAAGTCGGTTGAAAAGAAACTAGCTGCTCTTGAGTCGTCGTCACAAACTCATTTACAATAGAGGGCAATGTATACGATTTCATAATATAATATTCCGTCTAAAATTCAAAACTTGCCATTTAAAATTATAGTGAAATAAAAACTTTATACTACACACTAGGTTACATGAAGCTTCAGCATACCTACTTTGATGACAAAAATCTATGATAAAGATTAGTGACTAGTTCTTTCAAGTTTATGTTTTTATGATGCCAAGTAAAGGGACGAACAAGTCCTGCGCCTGGTGGTAAGCGACATTCCCACGTGTCCAGTTGCAGTGCCACGCAGAGATTTAAATCACAAAGCTCATGAAGTATGTACACCGTTACCCTGAGATATAAGTTGACAAGTCTCATGTGCCAGTAGCTTCACCAGCACCCAATTCGTAAATTATTTCTATCCGAATTTTTAAGTTGTAAATTGCATACCAGGCGACCTCCAGACCAAACGGATTACAGATCCCGTCTTACAAAATAAAAATTTCGAAACATCATTTGAAATAAACAAACAAACATTAAACGTAGGTAGCTACCATGATATGACCCCGTTATGTATGATTAGATATAAGAACCAATTATAATAAGCTGATTATTTCATTAATATTATCTTCTATTGAAGGTAAAAATTTAACCAATGTATGTGTTATAAATACTATATGTATAATTTGTTTATGACAACATCGATTCGATGAGCGCGATATGATAGCCCAGTGAGAGAACGGTCAGTTCTAATCCCTCTGGCGGCTTGTAGGTACCAATGATTTTAATTTAAATATTCCGTACATTTACTGTTTCTACTTACTCCGGAATGCTCTCTTATCACACAAGGTCCAAGTGCATATCTATAAGATTATTCACGTTTTCGTGAATAGGTACTCTCCAATTTATCCGATATCGTGGCGCTGTGTTATCGTTAGAGTGTCGTAGTAGAAATCACCTTGACGTACGGATAGTACGTCAAGGTGAAGTACGAAAATAGTCCAGAAGAAAAGCCTGACATTTGCATGAAAGGCCTGACTTTTTAGAAGCAGATTCACACGGTAGCAGAGACGGAATGTCGCCTGGGCAACAAATTTTTCGTGGAAAATAGAGTTTAAATTTAAGTACATAATTACGAAGTGGATATTTTACTTTTTATTCTTTTTCTTCAAGATACCAAGTAACGGAACAAACAAGTCATGCGTCTGGTGGTAAGCGATAAAGCGACACGCTTGTACAGTTGCAGTACAAGCGTGTCGCTCAGATCTTTAAATCGCAAAGATCTTAGGGGCTTTACCACTGCGCCCTTCACATTGAGATATGAGTTCACATGTACCATTTACCTGTAATTTCACCAACACCCTTATCCTTCGAAACCGGAACACAGTAATGCTCACATTAATGCTGAAATAGGTAAGGTGGCAGTAGCATATTAAAAAAATAGCCTTGAAACTAAATTTTTTAAAGTTACGTCATATTAGTTACTCAAACGATGGCAAAATTACGATAGTTTTATAGGAATGGGCTATCGCTCGGCGTCGCTGTTGATTTATGACTTCGGGTTGAAATTTGATCGAAAGCTATATAGCACAAATTATAGTCAGTTAGATAATACCGGATATTGGAATTATTAACACGTGCCTAAAAGTGCTTAGGTTTTATTGGGACAGTTAGAGTGTTAAAACAAATATAGATAACAATGCATTTTCTACGTAATGCGGTGGCTAGAAATATTTAAATCGAAGATAGTATAAGAGTTTTGACCCACATAAGATTTTAAGTTTTTTAGATATAAAGTACCAATTCTTTAAAGTTATGTCCCGCATTAATCAAAGTTTCAACCAAGAAATGAGAAGTTAAGTATCGCTACATGGATTAAAAAAAAAAATATTTTTTTCATCTCACTAAATCGGGTAAGGCTTTCTTTCTCATTAGAAATCTGCGCGCAAAAGCGTTTTTTGCACGCTAGCGTCGAATAGGTTTTTGAAATTCGAACTTGACGATGTACTGTGGTTCACCTAACTTTTTCTTTCGATGAAAATAATCTCAATACAAAGTATTAAAAAAACCTTAGAAAGAAAAACCGACTTCAAAAGTACGTGGAATTACATCTATTTGCCACGTTTTATTGAAATCGGATTCATCCCCTAGTTCGCCACTATACGGAACTTGACACAGAAGATAATAAAAATCGGTTCTCACTACTCAAAGTATATTGAGAGAAAAACGCCTTGAATTGGAGAATACCTCCATAGTGGTCCCAACAAAAAAAGAATCATCAAAATCGGTTCGCAAATACCGGAGTTATAGCGTAACATACATACAAAAAAAAACAGTCGAATTGCCCCCTCCTTTTTTGAAGTCGGTTAAATAAAAGATAATGACACATTCAACTACACGATTTGTCGTACATTACCTACTTAGTTAGATAATTTATATCCGTTGGTATAGTTTAGTCTTATTATTGTTGACATTACATTCACTATGGTAACTAATTGTGTTTATTAAATTATTTTAATTCGTCGAGGAACTAAAATAATTTCAATAATCACTTAAACACACAAAATAAAAGTACAAGCAAGAATAAAAATTGATGAGGTGTAAATTCAGAACGCATCCGAAAATAAACTTTTTTTTAATTAAAAAAAATTATGTTTCATAGTTACAACTGAAAAAAAATTATTACAGTTCATATCAATAAAAAAAAGAAATGACAATCATTCATAATTTGTTTAAAAAAAATACATTGTTGGAAATCGCTTCACTTTTATTTCTCCATGAGACAACTTTGCCGACCGATTGGGTGACAATTTTGCCACTATAATGATTTTTCATTTTTCTGTTGAAACGAAAATAGTCAATTAACCTTAATGAAATATGGAAAAATGTAACAACTAGGTACTATTAATCACTAAACGTAGACGAAAATAAAACATTATAACTTGATATGAACCAGTATAACTAAACTTCACATAATACACGAACACATTGTAGGTAATACAAATTTAATCTAAATTTCGATATCTTTACTACTATCTATTTAGGTACATCACAAAACAAAAAAATCGTGTAACGGTTCTTTCTAAAATTAACGACTGTTGCACAGCACTTTCTCTGAAAGCTGCATGGATTTCGCATGAAACCACCGGTTGTATACACCTAGTTGTCCGTGCTCCACCGATGTGGTACGCTTAAATGATGTGAACGTGTTAAAAACATCTAATTTACACCGATCATCATAAAACTGTGTGTCATATCAATCAAATTATACGTAGTTCGTCTCGTGTTCTTCAGTTGAAAAAAATGCTTACTTGTTCCTTAGGCACAGGTCAATGGGCAGAATAAATGCTTAGGTAAAAAAACTTAGCACTTGTTCCACTGAACTATATTCACAATCAATCAAAAACATGAAACCGATTCAATCAAACAAACTTGAGTCTTATCTAAACCAAATAATTACCAATCTATATTTAAGCAACTACCACAATTACCAGTTAGTCAACTACGCTTTGTCCTCTGGTGTTGTTGGCTCTTACAATAACAATTTCCTTACACGTTTTGTAACAATGCAGCGTACTAACTTAAGAATTATATTTTGCGCTTTTTCAATATTCGTTTTGCAAAGTTCTGCTAATATTGAACCAAAAACTGATCCAAATATCCTGGAAGACGCTAAACTGGATACAGTAAGTAAATTTGTATTTCCAACTCTTGATTTGATTGGTGTACAAGCCTTTTATAATGGAATATTTTACAACTGATAGGGTAACAAAATTTTGTATTTGTACGAAACATATGTAGTTACTTTATTATTGTTAGTCTATTATTAATTAGATTACTATTACAAAAAAGTTGTAATTATATGATAATAATACAATGCTTATTTTAGGTTTTCCAGTCGACTATTGATTTTGAATGTACATAATTATGTTACTCGATTACTCCGACATTTGTGAACCGACTTCGATTATTCTTTTTTGTTCGAAAGGTACAGTGGTCCCACTCAAATTTGAAGAAAATATTCCACTTCTATAAGGGTTTCACACACTTTCCGTTAACTAATGTCAATAAAACTTGGCAAATAGATCTTCGCTTATTCAGGCGATTATTTTGATTCTTAACACTGATCAATAGATGGCACCAAATAAACCCGCAGTGCTATTGTAATAATATTCGAAAAGACCAACAGATGGCAGCAATTACATTATTGTCAAGGTTATGTCTCTTATTCAGACGTTGATTATATAATATCAATACATACATACATATACTTCACGCCTCTTTCCCATCGGGGTAGGCAGAGACAACAGTCTTCCACTTGCTACGGTCCTGACATACATCTTTCGCCTCATCAACACGCATCAATGCTTTCATACACGCTCGTCGGTTAAGAGTACTCTTGACCTGGCCCTTCTTTAGGATGGCCTCAATTTAGTCATGTCATAAGTTCTCCTTGGTCGACCCGTACCAACTTGCGCGCTCACACTCGCCTTACAAATCTGTTTCGTCACTCTTCTTTTATTCATTCTCTCTACATGTCCGATCCATCTAAGCATCCCTTTCTCTATCTTTGTTACTATATCTTCTTCCACGCCGCAACGCTCTTTTATCACACTGTTCCGCAATTTATCCATCCGAGTCACTCCAGCCATGCTCCTCAAAGCTCCAATTTCTACTGCTTTAATTCTACTTTCATGCTTCTTCTGCCAAACCCAACATTCACTACTATACATACGTGTAGGAACCAGCACCCCCCCCATGCACAGCCAATCGTGCCTTTTTAGACACTTTCTGGCTGCCCATGAAGGTGTGCAAGGCATCATTCACCTGATTCCCTGCGTTCACTCTTCTTTCAATATCTCTTTCACATTTTCCATCACACGTAAACATAGAATCCAAATACACAAACTCTTTCACTTGTTCCACTTTCTCTACTTCAATCAATATCGCACAATTCGTCATATCTTCCTCTCTTTCAAAAACCATTACTTTTATCTTTCCCACATTAATATCAATGACATTATAATAACATCGTAAAGAAGCTGAATCTGTGGTTCGTATTCCAGAACTCTACTCAATACTCAAGTCAGGACTTAAGTATTGCAGTGAGCACTGAAAATCATACTCAAGTCCTTGCCATTAGGGTCGTATTTCCAGTGCTTGAAATCATTCTCAAGTCTGCTCAAATCCTGACTTGTGCATTGAGTAGAGTTCTGGAATACGACCCTGTAACATTAAAATTTAAAAGTAAAAGTCAGTGCTACGACGTTACTTAGTTTCGGTAATAAAAACAAAGAAATGCCATATATACAATTTATTGCAAATTAACAAATCATAATGTATTGCGAAAATTCGATTTGTTTATTTTTTCAACGACAGTTTACACCAATTCACATAATTGTAAATTAATTTTAATTGAACACTACAAAAATGTTGTTTAAGTAGCTTTTTATATTTTATACTTCTTATTTAGTGCGATATACCCTATAGTCAATGGACATACCTCAAATTTTCGATATTCAATACTTTGTATTTTTTTTTATCCAAGTGTCGCCATCTACAGTTTTAAATATGTACTAAAGTTAATTTGTATGAATAATAATTGATACCCCATGACATCGAGTATATAACCAGAAATAGAGACGAAAGTAGGGTCATCCATCCCTAACTACTCATCGGGCAAATGGCCCTTATACGAGTATCACTTTTAAATATCAACTCTCGTTTGCACTGAAATCAGAAATTAGAAAGCTGAAATACTACAGCGGCAACAACTGACCTATGTGTACGTCTCCGTATATACAAAAAATATTCTGTATTTATTGTAATAAAGACAATATCTCTAACTACGGGGTTTGTTACAAAACAAACGGAACCACATTTCATCGGTAATTAAATACTATGTAATTTTTCAATTTTCGTCCATTATAGCAAAGCTAAAGTTAAACTGGTCGATTTGAAGTGAAACAATTGACGACACCCGTCAATTGTTTCGAATTCGGGCAGGCCAATCGGAGCGTAGTTGTCACCGTAATGATTTACCAAAATAATTTTCAAACAAATTAAATGACATTTCGTCTTTATTTCTGGTTATACACTCGATGCCCCACGATGTTACTAACATTATAAACAACAACTTTTGTTCCGTACGTTGAGTCCACCAGGATCGTCGACCCCAATCCCCCAGGGGATCTTTGTGAGCTCTGCAGTTCATTAAAATCCCCTAAGTTAAATGTATGTAAAGTTGAAATCACATTGCGACAATCAATAATTACTTATTGTACCGTTGGGTGATCTTTTACAAAACATTATAGTACCTATATAAAACATAAACTTTTTTTTTTTTTTTTTAATTATCTTATACTTTTTGGATCTATATCTGGTAGTAAATTAAAGGGCAATTTCGTAACCTGCATGGCATTCCGCCGCGCAGACAGGAGACTGCTCACACACCATTCTGCGTATGGCCCACGTGAGTCTTGCAAGACGCATTGCAGGATTGCAGGGTTGTTTGCACGCTGCCACTACATACATAATCCTGCATTACACGGCGGACGGCAATGCAGGAATAATTAATAGCCCCTTTTAGTAGTTGCTCCTGCGTTTCGCATCGGACTGGATATTTACGCTACCGTTTTCTTTTGTTACCACAAAGTTATCACCATTTAAATTTTTTTTTTGTATGTAAGTAAAATTTGATTATTAAAGGTAGTGGAACAAAAGTTGTTGTTTACGATGTAATATACGTATACAGGGTGTAATCGTTAAATGTGCCCAGGCGATTATTCCATAAATATAGGTGATATCAAAAAGTTTTAAACTGCTATCGAAAGTATAGTTAGTAAATCGACTCGACGATAACTTATTTTAAATAAAACTGGATATATCCAAAATTTTAACGTTAAACACTCCCATACATTTAATATGACATTCGTAGGGAGGCTTTAGTAGACCTACTTTAAGAGGTAACAATAAGTTTTACAGATAATAAAACTGCTATAAATAAAGTAATAAAACTATTTTTCGATTGAATAAAATATAATGGCATAGTCAATTATTTGGTCAAGTGTAAGTTGACCATGAATAAAATTGATCAATTTTTTTTTAGTACAGATTGACTCAGTTTCCTGTAATGATCATTTTTTTGTATGGGACGAAAAAATCGAGACAGCAGAAGTTGGTCAAATTTAATAAAATGTCTTTTATACTTTTCATACTTATATTTATGGAATAATCGCCTGGGCACACTTCACGATTACACCCTGTATAGTCCTGTGAAGTTATTAGTATTTTAAAAGTAACCCCGCGGGTTACTATAAAAATACAGCGTTAGTTTTTAGCTATCACTGTTTCATAATTGTAGTAACTGGAATAGGTACCCATTAACCATTTTTACTTTCCTCCAGTTCTCCCTCATAAGGAAGTATGGATATCCATGTGAAATACACCGCATATACACTGAAGATAAGTACATATTGGAAGTCCACAGAGTCCCTCACGGTCGTAACGAGACTAGTGGAGGGAAGAGACCCGTAGTGTTTCTGCAGCATGGATTACTGTCTTCGTCTGCTGAGTGGGTGCTTATGAGTCCAGGAAAGGGACTTGGTAAGCAGAATCTTTAATATAAGTACTAAGCGTAAAAATATATAAATAATAATAGTTGTCGTATGTACTATGTGTTATTTGTAAATTACTAACAACCTCGCAGCTCTATATTAGTAACATAATTTTTTGCTAGCAGTAGAGCTCGTTGTGAAAGAGTTCGTCCTGGGTAGTACTGCCACCTTACCTATTTCTGCCGCCAAGCAATAATGTTAGCATACTGTGTTCCTGTTTTGAAGAGTTATCATGCTGGTGAAATTACAGGCACATGTAATTTGTCATCTTATGTCTCAGGGTAACGGGCGCAGTGGCAGTGCCCCTGAGATCTTTGCGATTTAAAGCTCGTAAGTGGCACTGCAACTTTTTTTTTTTTCATTGTCCAAAATACAGGATAAAATACTTATTTACTAATTACAAGCTTCGCTTACAAAAGCCCTTCCGGCTTTATCCGCGGCGAAGGAGTTCAGTCTATTTAAGCAAAGATAATATACAATAGAGCAAAATCTTAAAAAAACTAACTTAATTACTTCTAGCCAGGTACAAAAACATCTCACTTACATGTATATATAATAAGAATTAAGCGGGATTCGCTCTGGGCCTTTTGGAGGGAAAAGTGTCGTTTTTATGTTGACTTTCAATTATTTTGTGAAATCTAGTTTAAAGTGGAATATGATAGCGCTATTGTGCCTTAATCAAAGATTAAAACGCGAAATTATACGAATCTCGAACTAAAATACCTGTATCGGCCCGTTCTAAGGAATCCCGAGTCAATCCAAACACGCCGCCTCAAATTGCCTATCCTCTTTGTGGCGGCCATATTTACAGAAACATAATTAAACTAAGATATGGCTCAAAAGACTTCTATCCAAGCCAAAATTATTAATAAAAAAAAAGAATTAAGCAATTTACAAAATAAAGTTTACATCTTCAGTTTTCATATTTTTTTTTTAATGTATGATTTATTTATTAACTGTTACGGACAGGCGTGTAGCTTACCACCAGGCGCACAACTTATTCGTCCCGTCACTTAATATTATAAAAAAAAATTAAAAAGTCATAAATAACTTTTGTTTCATGTGTTAGAATAATTCACCAAATTTTACATTGATCGAAATAGACCGCTCTAAACGGTGATAACACTATGCAGTAACAAAAGAAAGTGTTCGTAGTATAACCAGTCCAATGCAAAACGCTGTAGGGGCAGGGATTGTCAAGGAGAACGCTTGCGCTTTTGTACTTGCTACCTAACTGTCAAAACATACAGATCTCAAAAGTGTCGGAGAGTACAACAAATACTTCGGCAACGGTTTCGGTGTGCGTTTACACCCCGGCTTCCATGGTCTGTTTCGTAATTATGTGCTAGTACTTTATTTGCCATGACGGTACAATCTTATCTCTATAAAAGACCCGTACTTGGCAGCGGGACGTCTCCTGCTTCTTATGGAGTCGATGGTTTTTTCAATAAACTTATTTTCACTTCTCATGCTCTTAAAGTTCGTATTTATGCTGGGTGTAGGCTGCATAAAATAGGATTTCATGCTCTAGTGCATAAAGTAGGATTATAACCTCTAGTGCATAAAATAAAATCGTCGTTTAACATCGAGGCAATGACGCCTGCGCCAACAGCCACGCACACTAGAACTTCATAAAATAAAGAGTTACTTTTATTTTTTTAATCCGTGTTGTATATCTAATGGTTGTAATTTTACATTTAATTTTAATTAAATAATCGTTTATTTATAATATTCAGAAACACTTTGCCTCTCCAATTCTCCTTAGTCATCATATTTCCACTAGTTTTTAAGATTTTATATATTATTTGATTTTAATCCATATTCACATGTTTAAGAAACTGTTTGCTTACTTTTCAATAGTAATGTTTACGAGCTGAATCTTCATGCTGTATGTACATATGTTAGGTTTACATCCTAGATTAAAACCATAAATTGTAACATTTATTGGAGTACCATTGAATGTAAACTGTTATGTGCATCAAATAAATAAATAAATAATTTAATCGCAACCGAAGTGAAAACCAGAGTGTATAACTCGTTCATAAAACCATTTTACCCTCGACTTGAGTATCCATATACTCGTCTCGGGTAAAATGACGCGTTTTATGCACTTGTTGTACAATCTACTATTTTGGTAAAGAAACATAATAGATTATGTTTCTAAAAGTCATGAAACAAACGTTATTGTTTATGATATTAGTAACACAGTCCTGCCGCAGGTTTAATTTTCAGCCCATTTCCAAATATGACTGCCTCCGTGGTCGAACGGTTACCATGCCTGTCACGCAGAGATCCTGGGTTCGATTCCCGGGTCGTGAGAAATATTTGACCTACACAAAGTTGAACGGGAATGGCATGACAGGATGATGAGTTTTGCTTTTTAAACGTTAATTATTGTCTCTGGCTGACTGGCCGACATCTATCTAGAGCGAGATGGAACTACGTACTAAATCATATGAAAGAAATAGACAGATGTACTATCCTGGGAGCGTTCAAGCACCGTTAACCGATTGTGTTCAAAATGAGAATAATTATACTTTTTTTATTAATTTTATTATTGATTATACTTATTGCGTTGTTTTGTAATATCGGCAACTTTTCAAACATACTTTACAATATATCGTACGACAAAATTACATGTCACGTCTAGTCATAATCATTGAAAAGAATAAGGCTAGTTTGTAATTTGATAACATAATTGGAACATATCTTGTTTTCATTGATTGCATTTTTTTTGCAACGTAAACTGCATGGACAGTGAATTGTTTTTGTGAGGTCATAGTACTTAGTAGAATTTTTTTTTCTTCTTTCCATAAAGGAAAAGGCAAAGGTTTTACACCATACAGCCAAGTCTTGGTACATTATTCTTTTTTGGTACATAAAGTAGAATTATGTTTCTGTAAATATGGCCGCCACAAAGAGGACAGGCAATTTGAGGCGGCGTGCTTGAATTGACTCGGGATTCCTTAGAACGGGCCGATACGGGTATTTCAGTTCGAGATTCGTATTATTTCGCGTTTTAATCTTCGATTAAGGTACAATAGCACTATCCTATTCCACTTTAAACTAGATTTCACAAAATAATTGAAAGTCAAAATAAAAATGACACTTTTCCCTCCAAAAGGTCCAAAGCGAATCACAGGCAATCCAACTGCTATGGACAGGCGTGTAGCTTACCATCAGGCGAATGACTTGTTCGTCCCGTCACTAGATATTATAAACAAAAAAAAATATTTTCTATTCAATTTTTAATTTAATTTAAATTGTCGGCCAACCTCCAGTAGAGGAGAGGCACTTTAAGAAGAAGAAGAAGAATATAGTCCTGCGAGGTTGTTAGTGTTTTACAAATAACTGTGTATATCGCCAACACAACAGTATATAGGCCAACTACAACATTATTATATTTTCCACTATGGGCCAAGATTTGATGTCAGAAATAAATCATTACTATTATTAATATTATAATAGTCTCGCTCAGGTGTGTGCAGATTTCCTCACATACGGTTTTCTCCACCAAAAAGCTCATGGTAAATTTCCAATTAAATTTCGCATATCGCTCTGCTATTACAATAGTGTTGTAACTCAAAATATATGAAATTTAATATTATATCATTACTGAACGTAAAATTTGATTCTATAAACGTCAAAAAAACCGTCGTTAGAATATTGTAAGAAACAATCAAAAGATACCTTCTTAACTCAAAATGAGACATACTTTATGTGAGCTAGTTCTGGCCAAAATAATCCTTATTCAAAAACATGAAATTATTTTTTCCATTTAATTTTTTAATATATTTGTGAAATTGTTTGTGTCTATAATAAACTACAACATATTAATTTTAATAATTTTTTTGCGGGAAGTGAGTAATTCGTTTTTCATCGATTCTGAGAAAGTCCTCTTTTTGAGTTAATACACTATTGTATTAACAGTGAGATATAAATTCCGAAAAATTCAGAGGTGCAAGCTCGGATTCGAACAATATACAATAACAAACCACTTATGTACATTGCGCAAAATAGTTAATGGTGGATTTGGTGCCATATTATAATATAAGATCTGCATAAGGGTGCCAAGTCGTTCAGTTCGCCGACCTCAATTATTTGCTAATCAAGCTTTCGTAAGTAATAATGTTTCTGCAAATACTCCAACTTACCGAATGTGTAGAACATAATATAATGATATTTGCTGTAACCATGATATATTCCGCGATAGCCTTCAGTCTGTCACTAAGCGGCTCGTTTGACCTATTCTTCTATTTTAAAACTTTTCTATATTGTTATTATTGTTTTTTGTTCATAAGATCCCACTATTTATACTTTTCTGAATGTTGTGTACTTATAACGTATAATTACAATGCAGATTTACTGATGTTTCTTTTTAGATAATGCTGTAATCTGTTTTCTGTAATTTGTACCATGACAATAATAATATAAAATTAAACTAATATAATAAAATAAATTATAAAATTACAAAAGTGCACAAGCATACATTTTTCAAAGCGCTGTCATTTCTTTCTTTCCAATTTTTTTTTATATTTTATTTTCGTCATGAATAATGATTACCAGCTACAATTTGTCGGTATATAGAGTAGTCTAATAAAATTGATATCATCAAAGATATAATTCAACATATAGTAATTTTACTTAACACTGTCAAACCTAAAAAGATTTATCTCAGTATATTAAAAAAAATTACATAGTACGAACAAAACATGAAGGCACAACATAACGGTCAAATGTGTGTGTTAAAAATGTACTAAAATTGCTCTACAAAAAGTAACACAATATGTAGCATTACATTTAGCACTTTCCTTCCAGCTTACATTCTAGCAGACTCCGGCTACGATGTGTGGATGGGCAATGCCCGAGGGAACACCTATTCACGAAACCACGTTTCTTTAAAACCTACATCATCCGCTTTTTGGAAATTCAGTTGGCACGAGATCGGTTACTATGACCTTCCAGCTATGATAGACTATACTTTAGCCGAAACTGGGGAACAAAAGATACAATATATAGGATTTTCACAAGGTACCACTGTATTCTGGGTGATGACATCGATGAGGACAGAGTATAACGACAAAATAGTTGCTATGCACGGGTTAGCTCCTATTGCTTTTGTTGGGAATATAAGGAGTCCGCTTATAAAAGCTCTTGCTCCGTTCACTAATTCTTTAGAGGTTAGTAGGATAAATATCTATACAAATATTATCTTAATATTTTAACTTCCTATTCATTAATAAAAAAATGTTTTATTCGAAACAATAACAAGATTCACACAATATGTTCGCCAAGAACTACAATAGATATAAAACTGTGCCGCATGCATTGACCTACCAACAAATGGACGTCGGGTCTAATACAAAAACCACGAAAAAATTGTCCGAAGTTAACCTATACAAACGTAGTGACACGTAACGAAATATAAAAAACTAAAACATTTAATTTAAATTGTACCGTCAATGCAGTACTGCCTAATTTTGCTTGCAACAATTTAAGGGCCCCAAAAAGCACCATATTCAGCTTCTTCTGGAAATTTAACAAAATGCACCATATTTAGCTTCGACTGAAAAATACTTGAACACAAGAGTAATGGAGTAGCCTTTATCGTAAATATGAATTAATTTTTATATATGATGTCGAATTTTGTACAAATTCACTTAAAGGAATAATAAAGAGTTGGGCAGATACATACATACAAATATTACTACAAATGTCAAAATAAGCGTGTACTATAAGAAATGTACAGATATTCCAACTAAACGTAAACTCAAATATCTGTCCGTTCAATGGCCGCAGGTATTTATTTTCAGCCCATTTTCAGATATAATTGCCTCCGTGGCCTAACTGTTACCATACTGGACTGCCATGCAGAGGTCTCGCGTTCGAGTCTCGGGCCGGGAGAAATATTTATATGGCCTACATGTATTACTATATGAGTACCCATGGCGTCCGCGATACAGGGTTTCCCTAGTGTGGGGAAATGAGAGTGAGCGTTGTTAATATTATCTATATTTAGTAGCAGTAGATCTCCTCATGAAAGGTTCGTCCAGGGAAGTACTGCCACCTTACATATTTATAAATTTCAGGCACATGGGACTTGGCAACTTATGTCTCAGGGTGATCGGCGCAGTGGCAGTGACCCTCAGGTCTTTGCGATTTAAAGCTCTGAGTGGCACTGCATCTGGTGTGGACAGGCGTGTAGTTTACCGTCAGGCACACGACTTGTTCGTCCCGTCACTTGATATTCTATAAAAAAAAAACTCTGCCGCCAAAACAATAAAAGTGAGCATTAGTAATAGTAAAAAAAAATATTGTACTAAGTACTTGTAAAGAAAATTATGTAACTAATTATAGCTATTTTATCGTGTGCGTCTGCGAAAAAAATGACTTTATTATACACTTAAACCTTGGACAAAAGTATGCAAGTATACACTAAAATATTCAAGTGTATTGCTTATCTATTACTTATCTGACACATCATTCTTCACACTATTAACAAGGTCATTTCCTCAATACAATCATTTTTAAATAGTTCTAAACGCTGTGGTAATACTAACCAGTGTTGGCAAATAAATCACGCTAATAATGATATTGTTATCAAATGTTTAGGTTGGAAGAGCCATCTAATCTTTTAATAGTACGTTGTGATCGGTAAAAAGGACGTCTACTGCTCATCGACAAGCGCGCTTGAAGGTTAACCATATAACGGTCACGCATTACCTAATTAGAGTAGGCTCAATTGTGATGGCGTAATTATTTTTTATTGGTAATTAAACTCTTTTTTAGGAACTAAAACAGCGGGGACGTGTTTTTTTTAAACAAACCAGCGTTTCAGGCCATTACAGGTCCCATGGTCACTGAGATTATATTAGTCAACAGTCTTACAGCAATTTGCATCATCATCGTCAACTCATTTATACGTCCCATTACTTCTCCCAGGCTAGGGTTTAGGCCACAGTCCGCCATGTTGGCCCAATGCGGGTTGGGAACTTCCCACGTTTTCTGAGAGTTGTGAACCTTCTTCGACGTGCAAGTTTCATCACGATGCTTACCTTCAACGAAAAGCTCATGGTAAATTTCACACATAAATTCCGAGAAACTCAGAGGTGTCACCCCGGAGACCCGGATTGAACCTAATATTAGCCTAACATGGTTTCTTTTCTTCATATGTAGATCCACAAAAAGTTCTATTTCCAGTGTGTAGCAATCGCGAAAATTAAAGAACTCGACGTATTCAAATACAAATATTTTTTTATTCAAGTAACCAGATTCATAATGTGTTAGTAAAATACATAAAAAAATAAATAATATTAATTATATGTTATCCTAGGGTTAGTATTTTAAAATTTTAAAATTTGATTACATATTTTGGGCCATAAAGCCCACAGCAGTTTCTAATGTAGTGGCAGTCAACCCTGTCCCCTATCGCAATGAGAACGGAGTTGGGGCTGACAAGTACGCGGATCACCAGAGACGCGCACCTCTTGCGCACAATGGCCTCAAATGGCGGCGAACATCCCTGATGCGCTATAAAAACGGGGCAGCCCCATCAACACCCGGAAGGCGCTATTATATTGAGTCCGCAGGGCTCTGTAAGCCCTTTCGTGTAGTCTGGCTACAAACTACACGTGTACAGGGAGGTACAGTACGAAGAGCGTCACTTTTACTTCACCCGAACACCTTGCGAAATTATAATAATAATAATAACGCACATGCTCAACATAGCCCCGCACTACGGAAACCCTGTGTCGCAGGCCATGGACACACACATAGACAACCACAAATTATACCCAAAATCACGAGAGAAATAATGTAAACCATACAAATATTTCTCCCGGCCCGGGAATCGAATCTGGGACCTCTGCGTGGCAGTCCGACATGGTAACCGTTCGGCCACAGAGGCAGTTTATAGTACTAGTAGTTTAAATTATTAGTATAGTATTGAGAAATTATTACTATTAGAATAGATAGAAAGAAGAAAAATTCCTTCGATCTGCCACGATTCGGACCAGCGTCTGTTGCCACACCGGGGCCTCTTACGAATGGAGCTGTAGCCGAGTCAGCCTGTCTTACAAATTTCTTTGTATTGGTTTCAATTCAAAGGGTGTTTTCGCTGTGAGCTCTCAACTCTACGTATTTTATATTTTTCAGCGTATATTCAAAATATTGGGCCGTAACGAAGTACTGTCAAATGGAAAGATCAATGAATTGGCTGGACAATCTTTTTGTATTGAAGAAGCTGTAACTCAAGTCATTTGTACAAATCTATTGTTCCTAATTTGCGGCTTTAACGAAGACCAGTTGAATGCTGTAAGTATATACCTAATCACGGTTTAAATTCAAAATGTGTCATTATACTGCTATAACTTTTCGAAAACTTAGTACACTATTTATTTTTTAACAGACTTCAAAAAAAGGAGGAGGTTATCAATTCGACTGTCAAGGACAGGCGTGTAGCTTACTATCAGGCCCACGACTTGTCCGTCCCGTCACTTGATATTATAAAAAATATATACTTTTTTTATATGTTACGCGATAGCTCTAATTTATGAGCCTATTTTAATGATTTTTTTTTGTTGGAAAGAGGGTTTGGTCCCACTTAAATTTGAAGATATATATATTATAGATAAATATTCCATGTCTAATGGTGGCAGACTAATCTGGTTTCGCGCATTTTCCGGTGACCGATTTCAATAAATCTTAGCAAATAGATAGAAATAAATAGATAGATAGAATAGTTCCACGAACTTTTAAGATCGGTTTTTTAGTAATCTGTACTGAGATTATTATATTATAATATCATGATTGTTGTTACTACCCCGATATTCATATGTGTTTTTGTCAAAACACTGCACTTCTTGGTTATTATTATTGATACAAAGATCGAACAATGCCAAGAAAATTTCTATCGATCAAACTGACCCACGCTTCGACCCAAAATGCTTCTTTGTGTTTTGTGTATTTGATACCTGATGTTTGATAGCACGATTGGTTGTGTGAAGAGTAAATGTAAGAAAGTGTTTGAACCATTATTGAGGCCTGTTAGTTCAATTCTGTAATGTTTGTTTTTTTTTTTGTTGTTTCTGTGTTACTAGGTACTTGGATTACTATCTGTTATGTTGCCGATATTAAATAAATAAATAAAAAATAACAAATAACTTGAATGCACTATCAGAAGAAATATCTTTTGCTAAGGCTTGTTATTTCGCAGTAAATATGAAAAATTGCTACCACCTAGCACTGTACAGTCAAGAGCACGACGTGAGCTTGGACACTTTGAGCATTGGATCATTCTTATCGCAAGCTGCGACATAGACTTAAATTTAAATCTGAAGCGTCCCAGTAGGATTTAAATTATAAATTAAGTTGTTTTCGTTAACGTCGTTTATTGACAATCGGCTATAAAATAATTGAAAATTTTTGTTACATTTTGTATAGAATTAAGCAGGTACTATTTATTTATAAATTTCTGACTAATTTGGTAAAGGAAAAGTGTCAAAAGCCACAAAAGCATTATCCTTTAAACATTGTTTGGTTACTCACTATCATTATTGTATTGTTGTTTTCCCCTGCATTGTACCATTTATATGACGAGCGGCTATGGAGTGGAATTCCTGCATACTGATTTTCTGAACGCTATATAACTTTTCAAGGCGAGGGTGAATAAAATATATATTATTTGTAAGATGCGAAGTCAAATGCGCACTTATTTTAAACATAAAAAAGAACAGTAATAATGTCATGTGAATACGATTGCACAGAAGTCGAAAAATTTTATAATATAATAAGTAAATAATAATCTCAGTATTGTACTGAAGAGTACTGTACTGAGATTGAGATTGAGACTGTAGTACTCTTTCCAACAAAAAAGAATCATGAAATACCGGAGTTATCGTGTAACATACATACAAAAAAAACATACAGACATGCGCACCGCAACTATATAACGCTTACAAATGGCACCACATTCAAATTTCACAATAATAAGTACCTGTACCTGAGTGTAAGTACATATATCAAAAGTGTCTAAGGATCAAGCACGTTTTTGCCAATTACTGAAAATTAGTCATTTTAATTAATTTATTTTTAGCACCGATGGATTTCTTTTGCCAATTTTTTTAATTTGAATGTGAAAATTAAATTTTATTTATTTTTTTATTTATCTAGTTTGTACAAATTACACTTACAGTAACTAAACATGTAAGTCATAGTCACAAAAAAGGACACAAAAAAAAGAAGAAGAAAGAGAAAGAGAAAATAGACCAAAAATCCATTGGTGTTAAAAAAAATCATTAAGAAACCCCTTAGACTATTATATTACATATTATATTCCTTTATTTTTTTTATCCTCTAAGAGAAATCCTTAGAGGTTCAAAAAAACAGTCTCAGTAGAAACCCGACGCTTTTGACGTATGTAGTTTTTTGTATCCTCTTAGGTGTAGTTGATACAAAATCTTCTAACACATCTTCCCTTACTTTTTTTCCATTCTCTAAGATTTTGACCGATTGTTTCTGACGTTCCTGATATTCGGCAACTTCAGAGTGGAACGTCAGACTGGACTCAGGTTGGCTAAGTAGTCAACTTTTAGCATGACACGTTTGAAGCACTTTAGAGGATGAGAAAAAAAGTTATTCATATCTACCTTTTTTATTTTATATTAAATTTTTGACAGACGCACATCTTTTTGAGATTTTTTTATTACAGACGATGCTGCCAGTGGTGTTAGGCCACACACCAGCTGGTGCCTCAACCCGCCAACTAGTGCATTTCGGACAGTTGTACAAGTCCAAAAAATTTGTACAATTCGATCACGGCTGGATTACGAACAAAAAAATTTACGGTAGTTTCAAACCACCTGCTTATGACCTTAGTAATATACGCACCCCTGTTTTCCTACATTATGCGGACAATGACTGGCTTTCCACACCTCCGGACGTTGATCAGTTATCCAGGGAAATTAAGTCTGTTTTTGGAAAATTCAGAGTTCCATTTTCAAAATTCAATCACCTAGACTTCGTTTTCGCAATCGACGCCAAGAAACTAATCTACGACAGGCTCTTGAACATAATGGCACAGTTTATTTAAATAAAACATTATTGGTAATGATTGTCTTTTAATAAACAACTTTAATATATATTAATTACCTCAAAGAGCTAGGTGAAGAATGCCAATTTTTAGACTTGCAGACGGCTACTGTACGGAATGACGCTTCGATATCAGAAATATTCGAATCCGTGCACTTTTTAGTTTTACTTGCGAGTTTCATCTCTCTTTTGACCATCTCTCCTAATGCTTTTTGCACTGTAAAATTATCATACTAGTTGATTTTGAATATCATGATGTTTTATTACCATGGTTTTTATTTATTTTGTGAAGTTATTTCACTACAGGCCTACCGCTAAACTGAGTCGGTTCCTGAGGTAGGTGCGCGGTGCCGGAGAAGTGACATTTCACGCAATAGTTATGTCGCGTGCACACGGGCTGATTTCAACAAGATTTTTCTGACAATATTCAATAAGAAGTTGATCCTGAACAGTGCCTAGCAAATTAGTCAATTGTTGTTATGTGAAACGATAATAATCTATTTTATTGATAATTGAAATAAATAGACAAGCCATTTGACATTTCTTTCAATCAACTTGTTATTGAATATCGTCAGAAAAATCTTGTTGAAATTATCCCGTGTGCGACATAACTGTTACGTAAACTGTCAGTCCTCCCGCACCGCGCAGTTACTTCATCAGGAAACGACTCAATTAAGCGGTAGACCTTTAGTTTGTTATAATTAATATACAAGAACCTAACACAAAGAAAAATTCCTTCCATCTGACAGCATTTGAACCTGCGCCTGAATGCCAAAAAGGCCAGTCTGCAGACTTTACGAATTTCTCTAAGTATTTATACAGATCTTTGTGTTGATTTGTGTATTTATACAGAGTTTTTTTCGCCGTATACGACACTGTGAGATTACCATAAGTGTCTTAAAACATAACTGAATATTCACAATTTCTATGCAGTTAATTGTATATTTCGCTCCCATGGTGTAATAAGACTATATCTGCAAAATGATAACTTTTCAGGAGAGAGATTTAAAGATTCTACGAACGAAATCAACGCGGTGTCACACGACATCGATTTGTTCTCTAAATGAATCCGCACAGGCTGCGTATTGTAAAATATAATTTGATGGTACATATTAAATGAGTTTGTTTATTGTTGACATGTTTGAACCTAGTTAGGTAACTGCACATTGTATTAGGAAATACAACTGTAATGATAGTTGTAAGAGATTAATAATCATAATTGTTGCTTTACTATCGCATTAGGTTAGCTCACGTAGCCGGGGCATCTTTTCATACTTCGGTTCACACAGCGAAGAACTAAGCTAACCGACAATATTTATAGGCCCTGGGTCTTTTTGGGATTAAGTAAATCTCCTAGGTGCATCATCAACAATTGACGTTGAAAGATACCAAAAATATTTCCCCCTCACTATTTTGATTATTTTTATAGCCTATGACACTCCCACAATCATGACGAATCTAACGACACCTCAAGTGTCAAAATCCATCAAACCGTTTAGGCTGTACAGCGTGAAAAAGAAATGAATATAAATACATAAACACACTTAAAAAACATAACCCTCCCGCAGTCGGGTAAAAATGAGTGAGGATGCAAATGGTTATTTAAATATTTAAGGTATCTAGTACATTTTACCCACTATATAGATATTTCTCAATAGAAATTTAAATTTGTCTAAGTACCATCAGATTCTAGTACACCCTTACCTTTAGTTAACAGACAAACAGGATCTTCCTTTTTTACACGAGGACCGTGCGGTAGTACTTCTTGCAGAATTGGGTCATTTGTTTTATGCAAAACTTGGAGCAATGACACATGTTGGTAGGTCTACAAAAATCTTTACTTTAGTCATAATTTTCTCAACATAGAAACGCACAAGCTTAATCATTGGTAACTTAAAAGGCCTTACGTCATTTTTGCAGTTTTGCAACGTAATTATCATTTCAGACTCTGCGTCTTTTGCCACTTTACTCGTCTCATACACACTTTCTTCAAAATTGTGCAAAAGCGAACGTGGATTTTCATTTACAGGCAACAACTTAGGACAGTAGGAAGATTCCCTCCACTTTCCCTCATCACAAACTTTTTGCAGCTCACGTTTTAGTGAAAGATTTTCATTCATTAATTTTACCATTTCAGTTTGTTGTGCAACGTTCTCACTTTTCAACTTGGTTATGCTAACTGAATAATTACAGGTATTACATGCCACAGAAGCAGTTTTAACACTAACTGAGACATACCTGCAATGTTTCGCAGTGTTTCCATCTTTCGATAAATTACAATAACATTCATTGTCTTTATATTTCAGAAACTCACAGTGGCAAAACTGTACTCTACTAGATTTTTCAGCAAGATCAACGCAGTCTCCTTCCTTGCACGGAGGTCTGGTAATATAAGCGCCATTATCAATGTGTGATCCTGTACACGAAGCGTCACATTTTTTTCGGCTGGAGCTAGAGCTGCAAGGCATCAGCGATTTGACAAATAATGCCTGTCGCACCATCTCTTGTTGCCAATTCCTGGCAACTTCTCTAGAACTGTCATTTACGCAATTATCCTTACTGAAATTTGAAGTTTTCGATATATTTAAGTTAAATAATTTCTCTAGTAAAACCTTCCAAAACAGCTTAATACTTTTTAAAGCTTCCAAACATCTATCGCACGGCCAATGGCTGGTCTCGAATTCATCCTGAAAAAAAGATGAAAGTTACAGAATTCAGATTTTATTATTAAATTAATAAAGCTGAATATAACAATTGCGCTACTGAAGTGTCCTTGGCAGTTTTTCTTATTCTTGTTTTTCACAATTCTACAAATTTGTCCGCAAACATTTTCCTCATTTCTTCCTTATTTAATATTTTTGCTCATAGCGCACGCATAACCTTACAAATTGAATGTTTTTTCTCTGTTGCATGGCGCCCTTTAACCTCAATTATCTCAGGTCACAGGTCGACATTCAAATTTGGGTTCAGTCATGGACTGTACAATTGTATTTTGTATGCAGCTTTCAAATATCATGCATATCTTTTGAGGAACGGTCGAGTAATTTTATTCGGAATTTGTGCAATTTGAGTGGATGCCAAGGAAAGTTTTTTTTTTATAATACCAAATACCAAATGACAGGATGAATAAGTCGTACGCCTGTTCATAACAGTTGCAGTGCCGCTCAGAGTTTCAAATCGCAAAGATCTGTGGGGCACTGCCATTGCACCCGTCATCACCTTGCGACATATATTAACAAGTCCCATGTGCCTGTAATTTCACCAGCACGTTCAAAACCAAAACGCAATAATACCATAGACATCATTGACCTACCAACAAATGGACATCGGGTCTAATACAAAATCCACGAAATAAATTTCCGAGGTTAACCTATAAAAACGTAGTGACATGTAACAAAATATAAAAAACTAAAACATTTAATTTAAATTGTAACGTCATTGCAGTACTGCCTAAATTTGCTTACAACAATTTAAGGGCCCAAAAACACCATATTCAGCTACTACTGGAAACTTAACAAAATGCACCATATTTAGCTTCGACTGAAAATTACTTGAACACAAGAGTAATGGAATAGCCTTTCTCGTAAATATTAATTAATTTTTTTTATATATATTATTATGTCGAATTTTGTACAAATTCTCTTAAAGGTATAATAAAGAGTTGAGCAGATGCATACATACAAATATTACTACAAATGTGAAAATAAGCGTGTACTATATGAAATGTACAGATATTCCAACTAAACGTAAACTCAAATATCCGTAATTTCGATTTATAACAAAACCGTTACGCTTTCGAGTAATTTTGATGCTTTTTACGTAGACAAAATTAGCTTTTGTTTTGTAATCTTCGTAAAAACACATTATGAAAATTCGAGCTAATGTTATTTCGGGCAAATGTATTTTCTGACTTCTGATAAGTAATCCCAAGCCGTAAAACGAGTACAACAATATTTTGTTAGTTATTGCTAACGTGTAATAAAAAAATCATTTTAAAAATAGGATTAAAATCAAAACAACTCGACAGTTTGTTTGCTCTAAATATTTCAATCGCTTGTGGTTCGAACAATTGAAAATGACCAAAAAGTTTATATAAGCTTCTTGAAACTGACGTAATGGGTCTCTTTCCATCTTTTGCTCATGTAATGAGTAGAAAAAAGACCTTAGAGGGTGGGAAAAAAATAAAAGAATGGAGCTGCCCTAACTACGGAATGAACGTGCATACCTAAACAAAAATTGAACGAACAAATGGCGGATTTCTTTAGTGTCGTACCATAATCTATCGATAAGTCATTATCGACATGCAAACATTTAATTAAAGTAGATCAATATTCCATTTGGGAACATTTTAGTTTATTATGAGAGTATCTGCGGGTGTCACATAAAATTTTGAATTTATTGTTTTGCATTTACAAATACTCAAATATTACGTAAAGTGAATTTGCACAGAAAAAAAATTGTAATTTGAGAGTATATAAACAAGAGAAAACTTTGAAATATAAATCCTATACATTTCCAACCTCAAGATTCATATTTTCATAGAGAAATTTTTAAACAGATTCCGAATAGTGAAAACTTTTTTGTATTTATGCATTGGTATAGAATTAATATCAGTGACTGATTTAAGTGAATCTTTAATACTTCCATTTAATTTTGGAAATAAATGAAAGTAGTAATATTATCAATAATAATGTTATTAATCATACGTTTATTTGCTTAAAACATGTTATAACAGGAGATGTAACAAGAGACAGTGTTAGTATAAACATGTTTCGCGTATATTAAATAGCATGCAAATGTCTGATTATACAATGTCAATCAACTACTATTAGTCGAGCGCCTTCGATTTGTGCAGAAAAATCGACACTTTTCCGAAGTGAGACAAGTAGTCACGAGCGACTGCGAGTTGTGACAAGACACGTCAAACGAGCTCTGTCGCTAAGGGGTTAGCGCTCGCTTTCACTCGGTCAGCTAGCCGAGTGACACCGAACGATGGCAAGGCAAGGCAAGGCAAATACACTGCTTATACGTTGGTATTGGCCTTCACACGGCAACGTTAGACCAACATGGTCTTTGTGCTGCTGGCTTTATAAAATAAGAATTTTTAGTAATTAGAGTTGTCCTGAGTTTACCTACAAACTTGAAATAGTAAAAATAATAATAATAATAAAATAATAAAAACCTCGTAGTGAATTATTTTAATAACTGAATATCGATAATATGTACGCTTCCAAGAACAACACTATTTCAAAATAATCGTTAACAACAATCATCAAAATATACAAACAAACAGGCAATCTGAAGAAACCAAAGCAAAATTTGGCAAGATTTATGAATAAACTACATAACACACTTAACACATACAATGCACACACTCACATAAAATTAAATAGTTTTAACTACTATATGACTATTTATATAATATATGATTTACATATTATTTACATTACTCACAAAACACACTCTACACAGACAACTCACACACTCACACAAAATTTAATAGTTTCCATATATACAATCTCAGTCTTCTTATCAGTCTGCCATATACTATCTTTATATATCGTCCTATTACTCGCTTCCGTTATATTATGCCATACCAATTCACTCTGATATTAAAGTCTTTACATTATTTATTTAACATTTGGTGAACTACAGGATATTAATTCTGATTTAGAAGACATTACTGACGCTGAGGCTGGGAACTGTATGATAGAAGATAGTGCACGATTTTCCCTACAGTATGGTAATTCTCTGAAACTTCTATGTCAAAACATAAGAAATATAAATCGTAACTTTGATGGCTTATGCACTTTAATTCAGCGAAGTAACACCCCATGAGACGTAATAGTACTTACGGAATGTTGGCTATTAAACTCACCTCCTATACCTACTCTCCAGGGCTACTCTTCCACCAGCATTAGTTTCCACACCTCTCAGAATAAGGGAGTGGTTGTATTTTACCGTTCTCTTCTCTCAATATCAATAATTGACTCTGTTTTGGAGTACGCAAATTGTTTGACAATGATCATAGATAAAACCACAGTCCTAATAGGTATTTATCGTCACCCTTCTAGGTATAATATATCTAATTTTCTTTCTTCTTTAGATCAACTTCTGAACCGTTTCACAACATATAGTAATATTGTACTCGTAGCTGACATAAATATTGACATTTCCACGAGGTCAAGTGATCTGCGTGTCTCCGACTATCTGACTATGGTTGCCTTCCATGGGATGCTCCCTGCTCACTCTCTCCCAACTCGTAATAATTACTCTTGTATAGACCACGTTATTTTAAAAACAAAATCCCCAGCCTACTGTTTTATAGCGCATACATCAATCACCGATCATGATTCTGTTTTATTCTTCCTTAAAGCTAAACCTTCCATAGCAAATTCTCAAAAAACAAAAACCATTAAATTACTTGACTATGTAAATTTAGAACTTGACCTTTTAAACCTTGATTTTAAACAATTATATAATATGACAGAAGTAAACCTAGCTACTTCCTATTTTCTTAACTCCTTAAACCATGTCATGACAGCAAATACCCTTATCAAAGTTGTCTCAAATCGTAAAACACTTAAGAAGCCATGGATGACTCTGGGACTTCTAAGGTGCCTCAGAAATCGTGACCAGCTACACCTGAAAGTCAAAAAATCACCAAAAGATAATGTCATCAAGACCACCTATGCGAGATACAGAAATTATTGCTCGACAATCTTATATAAAGCTAAATCTGAATATGACAGGGAGCAGTTACGTAATGCTCAAAATAATAATAAAAAACTTTGGAAAGTTATTAAGAACATCTCTTTCGCTTCCAAAGAGAGAAAACTTGCGCTTAAACTCGTATCTGCTAGTCCTGTTAATTCAATAGACAATATTAATTTATATTTCGCTAACATTGGACGTAGTTTGGCTGAAGGTATCCCCGCGAGTCCCATTGAGCATTCCTCTGATTCGTGTTCTATTTCTAGTACAAACACATTCGTCCTGTTACCTACTGATGAGGTCGAGGTGGAGGAAATTGTGATGAATCTTCGTAGTGGCTGTGCTGTGGGCTATGACGGCATTTCTGGCTCCTTTTTAAAAAAAATCATACATATTTTAGTTTCCCCAATAACGTTCCTATGTAATCTTTCCTTTAGTACCGGTGTCTTCCCCGAGGCCTTCAAGCTCGCTATAATTCATCCGGTGTTCAAGAGTGGGGACATAGGTCAAATTAACAACTACAGACCTATTTCAATTCTGCCCACCCTGTCTAAAATTCTAGAGAGACTTATAAATAGTAGACTGATGAATTACCTGGAAAAAAATAAATTGTTGTCTACCTCTCAGTATGGTTTCCGGCCTGGTATTTCTACAAATAATGCCGTATCAGACCTAACTAACGAAGTCGTTGCTAAACTTGATAACAAGCAGAAGGTGATGGCTGTTTTCCTCGACCTCGCCAAAGCATTCGATACTATATCAGTTCCACTACTCATTACTAAACTGGAAAGGTTGGGTATTCGAGGACTTCAGCTTGACCTTTTTGTAAGTTATCTTGTTGATAGACGATAGTATGTTAGGATTGGAGATTTAAACAGTAAGGAACTTCCGATCACCTATGGTGTGCCCCAGGGCAGTATTCTCAGCCCTACCTTATTTTTAGCGTATATTAACGACCTCTGTAACATGCAATTAAAAAATGGTTCTATTTTTACATATGCCGACGACACTGCCTTGATATTCTTTGGCGAATCCTGGGAATCCGTGTTTTACTATGCGCAATTGGGCTTTAATTCAGTTTCTGCATGGCTTTCTCAGAACCTTCTCACCCTTAACGTGGATAAAACAATGTGTCTCCCTTTCTCTCTTTCAAGTCGTGGTCTTCCATCCGCCACCTCTTTCACTGTCACAGCTCATTCGTGTCCTTCCTTTTCTAAAAATTCCTGCTCTTGTCCATCCTTACTCCGCACTCACTACATCAAATACTTGGGTGTCCAGCTAGATAGCACACTTTCTTTTAGCTATCGTATTGGGAGTCTTTTCCTACGGTTACGTAAATTAATTTATGTTTTTAAAAACCTCAGTGTCGTTGCTGACGTGAAAGTTTTGAGACTTGTGTATTTAGCTCTCTGTCAATCTCTCACGACATATTGCATAACAGTTTGGGGTGGATCTTCCAAGCAGCAACATCTTCGGCTGTAACGAGCGCAACGTGCGATACTCAAGGTGGGATGGAACCTTCCTTTCAGATATCCAACCTCTGACCTTTACAAAACCTGTGAGGTCCTTTCAGTACGTCAGCTGTTTATCCTTCACACGGCTTTAACCAAACACATTCAAGTCTCCTTCGACTCTGACAAAATAAACACTATTCGGCGTAAATACACTGTCTGCCCTTCGACTACAGTTTCCACTAGTTGTGCACAGCGTCATTTCTGTTTTTTGGGAGGCAATTTATATAATAAGATAAACAGTATTCTTAATGTGTACCCCTTATGCAGAGCGAAATGTAAAAAAATTATTACTGACTGGCTGATCGCACACAATAGTTATGACTCGACAGAAAAACTATTAACTATACTAAAATAAGTTATATTACACATATATACACCCCAACGCGCACACACATACACACACGTACACGCAAACAAACACACGCACACAAACACACACGCACAGAGATTTTTCTATTTGTTTTATTTTCTAATTAGCTATCAATTTTATTTTAATCTTTAATTTTCATTATTTTTGTTAAATTTTATTAGTGTTACTTTTCTGATAAACTTTCAAAAGGGTGTGAACCTGGTGACATAGGTCCCCAACCTAGTACAGACTCCAGCTCTCACTAAGGTGCTTCATATTTAACATGAAATGTAACAAATCTGCATTTTGTAAACCTTTTTGAGAGAAATAAAGCATTTTGTACTGTATTGCAAAAAAATATGTTTAATTACATGAGTTATTTGGGCTTTTGTGCAATTTATAGACAGATAAATAGCACGTGACTGTACAATGTTACATTCGGTCGATCTTCGCTTTTTCAAATGCCACATTCCGTAATGCTGCAGCGACGAATTTTTATTAATACTTAATTGTTCTCACTGTCAATATTTTTGTCCATTTTATTACAATACATGCGAATAATTCAATAAAACACATGGAAAAACATTTGTTTTCACAACTGTATCATGTACCTCATGTACTGCGAAATGGACACAGTTGGCATTTAAGATGACGTTACGTATTTTCGATTCCCGTGTTTGGCACAGACCAATGTAATGCTATCTCTTTTGGCTTAAGACGGCACGCAATAGTTAAACAAAGACAATAACATGTTTATGTTTTCGACGCGACGTCGAAATGCATCATGTACTTGTAACGTCTGATTTATATATGTCAACATAACATGTCCTTTAGTTTCGATAGTCTTAGAAAAGGACAGTTAACTATTTCATTATTACGTGTGTTTTTGTAATTTATATTTATGATTCAATTATATATAAATTAAATACTATAAAACTGTACAAAATAACACTTTTAAACGACAACTATGATAACACAATACATTTGTTTAGTGAAAATATGATACAAAATCCTGTTTTCACACTTTACTGCAGTAATTTTTACAAGTTATTATTATTATTGGTACTGCATGATTGACAACCTCACTCTCACTTGAACAAACGAAGCTATTGCACGATTGACGCTCTGTATGCAATTTTAACGCCCTACAGGTGCGGACACTTTTTAGCGCGAACCCGACGTCCATTTATTGTTAGGTCAATTATAGATATAGAAAAAAAGGGGAGATATGTAATGACGCTATGTAAGATCGGGTGCCGATGTCGCCACTTTTTAGCTTGTGTGCAATTCAAACTTTACGCTATATTATCTACTACCATAACTTAAAGATTTTGATTGGGTAGAGCTTAAAACGTAAAAATGACGTAACACAATTTTAAAATTTAACAAAATGAAACTTACAGTCACTTGAATAAGAGTTATATTACAATATTTCACTATCTTTTTCATCTTGGTTCAGCCATTCACCATCAGGTGGCGTTTTAGCAAAAATGCTACTAGTATCATCATTTTTCGTTACACTAAGAACTCACGGAGCGGTTTTCACCCGCGTCTACCGTAGGACCGCGGCATCTGTAGACTGTAACAGTTAAGTATGTAAAATTAGTAGCACATTTCACGACGCGTTTTACGTCTGTAGTGGTGACGGTTGCTTGCGGTTGCCGCGGCGGGGTACTAGTAAAACTGCGCAGGACGCGATCACCTGCGCGCTTGGCGGCCGTCGTCGCCCGCGCACTATGGCGGTCGGTTCAGGCGCAATGTGGTGCAGGCGCACGCAGGTGAGTTCTCTATTAACCGCGCGACCTGCAATTAACTCCCATTAACTTCGCGGTCCTTTCCGCAATCACAACGGTTTCGTGCCCGCAACCGCGGCGGCTACGTGCCCGCACAAACTTGCAGGGTCGTGAGTATTAAAATAAAACCGCTGTCTAGCAGCACCGGCGGGCGCGGATGGAAACCGCTCCGTGAATTGTTAACCTAATTAACCTCAAACTGACGCTACTCAACGAGGGATGTGGTCCTACTTAATCAATAGTTGGAAACCACGTTGGCTGTTTTTAATATTAAAAAAATATTCCATTTTTCATACTATATCTACACTGTGGTACTAGTGTATTATTAAATTAATATATTAATATAAATTACTATTATTTTCTTAATGGCGGCCACTAGGCTTGGACCAGTGTCAGTTTTATAAGAATAATATAAAAAATATGGCGATCGTCGCCAGTGTCAATTATCCATAATACGTTACCACGGGTTGGTGAAGCTGTCACTGTCAAGAGTAAATTCCAACCATCAACGAATTTAATAAATTAAATTATGTCGTTTTTTTATAAAGGTTTTGTGTAATTTTCTATATTTGTTTCTAATTTATTTTGCATGCCCATGTAAAATAAAGCCCATTTTATTTTTATTTTTTTTATATACATTTGCTATGGAAATTGAAACAAACTAAGAAATAGTAATAAGAAAACCAATCTTTCGGTTCGTTTTCACTTCCTCGGGGATGATCACAACCGTGAACTAAGGTCTAAAATGGATAACCTACTGAAGCCTCCTTTCACTCGCTCTGAGTATTACAAAAATTATTTTACTATTAAGGCTGCAAATTTGTGGAACGATCTCCCATTTGAAATCCGACATTCTAAATCGCTACCTATTTTCAAAACCGGATTGCGTAAATATCTTTTATCACGGTCCTAGTCTGCAACGTATGTATTAGTAAGTATAAGTTATTAGTAAGTCTAAGTTTATTTAGGTATATTTATATATACATGTATCTACGTAGATATAATATATCATTATTTTTTAAATATTTTGTAAATTACTATGTGTCTATTTAATTTTATTATTTTGTATTTTTTTTATTTTTTATTTATGCAATTTTATTTTTTAATATTTTTATTTTTATATTCGTAAAATTGGCACACTACGTTTCCCGCTCCGATTAGCATTCCTCTAACTCTAAGGTTGTCTGGAAGAGATCGCTCTTAGCGATAAGACCGCCTTTGCCCACATTAGTTTTAAGTTGTTTATGTACTATTCTTGTTCTTGTGTGTGAGCAATAAAGTGTTTATCTATCTATCTATCTATCTATCTTTCGATTTTCCTGCAGCTTCAATCCAACCTTCTTTTATTTTAAACTCATTGGAAAAACTATAAAATAAAAATACTCTACGTTTAATCTACGAGTATAATGGAATTTAAATATCTAAAACAATAATACACATACATTTTTGTTCAAGCAACAGCAACATCCAAATTGACATGAAATTGAAACGGTTGTCCGAAATATGAGTTGTGTTAAAGTTACTCGAAATAAAATGTTTAGTAATAATAATAATAATAAAATAAAAGAAATCAATTTAACGTGAATGCTTTTCGCTTTGATATTTTAGGGACTTTAATTACATAAATCATAGTAAGAAATTCAAACATTTCAGTAAAAATTTATTGTCGATAAACATCAGTCTTCGTAAATGAACATCACTATATTTGAGTCTAGAAATTTCTATGGAGACAAAAAGAAAACATTGAACAATAATAGAAATAGTAACTAAAAATGCAAATAGCCGGTGGAATATTACCTCACTGGTTTAAATTATTTTGTTTTCACTCCAATTTTTACAAGGTGTATCGCTACAACTTGGCATTTTCACGTTTTACGAGAGATCTTGTATGCACAACGATCGCCATGTCACTGTGGCGATGTTTGTAGGCGTGTCACCTCGATATGATCATTTTGATCAAATCGAGGCGACACCAACCACGCCCCCATACCATATCTTCCCTTTTTTTCTATATCTATGAATAATACTCATATTATTGCTTGGCTGCAGAAATAGGTAAATTGGCAGTACTTCCCTGGACGAACAAGGAGCTACTACATCGCTAGCTCCATTGATGCAATTCTATTTGAAACATAGGCCTTTAAACTTACTTCAATGAAAAACTTTTCCAAATCTTCACCTTCCTTCAAACATTCTTTCATGGCTTCACAAGAGTTAGTGATGCTTTCAAGTATAATTTTCGATTTACAATCTGGATGACATCGGGGCGCAGCCTAAGTTTAACAAATTGTTAATAATACCACACATACGTATTAAATATAAACGCTAAATATAGTAGTAGATAGTTGAGGGTTGTAGGTGGCTGGTAGATTATTGTGAGCTGTTGTGTGATTACACTATGTAACAAATTTTCAAAAAGGTTCTATTTCTGGTATAAATAGTGTTGGTTTCTATTTAATTGGACAGCAAGTATGTAGAAAAGAGTAGCTATACCCCTGAAACTTTGCTTTTGTAGTCGTCACATGACGTCTACATAGATGCCTATTTACATTATTTACGGTATTTTATTTTTATTTATTTATTTATACATTTTAGGAAAATTCACGGACAAATAATACAATTATAGTAAACTTAAATATGAGTAATCCAATGCCATTTACGAATTTCCACCAACATGGTATTGGCATAATCTCGCAAAATGTACACATTTCTAGGTTCTTTGCCATCAATACGTCGAATTTTGGTTGAAAAATTCTGTTAATGAACAAATAGAAACCCGAAAATTAATTTTAAAAACATCCTTAATGGTATATAATAAATTTCAACTTTTCGTTGTCTTGCCACAAAAACAAAGATTTTGCAACGAAATAAAGGTTTTTCTAGTTTTCATGTCAGAACCAATTAGAAAATAATGGTATGGTAAATGATAGGCCCAAAAAATGTTAATAACAATTTTATAAATACATAGTTACCCTGCTACGACTACTGCATGTCATTATCCTCAGAAATCCCAACACAGTGCTCATAGGTATAACGCAAACGGGCATGTCACATCTCATCCATTCTTTGAGATAGCGTACCTGCGTTGCGACGTCATGACTCCATGCTCGGACGTCGATGCAGGACTCGTACGATTTGATTTTACCCTCGTTCCGAGCTATCAATAGAAGTTGAGTGTCTGAATTAGTCATTGAATTTTCACAAAACAGATTTTTTCATCTTTCGTCCATGTAGTCAACTGGTATATGCACAGACAATACAGTAGCCAAACAGGACGGTAGATAACATAAAATTTTGGGATCATAATGACCATCAAAGTCCGTGTGTCCCACTGACAATTCACACGAGTATATACTTCATCTATGGTTACAAATTTTGACGTTGCTCATTTCGACAACAAAAAGATATCAATATCAATTGTTGGTTTTAGAAAATTACTGGTGATTTGTAAAAAATAATAAAGAAAAATATTTAAACTATGCCATTCCATTTCAAGCTGCGGCTCCTTCTCGATTTCTGATGACAGTTCAAAATACATATTTGATATTTTACATATTTACCTTTAGTTGTTCAGATATTAAAATCGTATCGTTATGTGTACAATGGACGGCGGGGAAAAGTAAATATATTTGTATTATTCATGTACATGTTTAGACAAGTTTGTATTAATCATAGGAAGAGACTTCGGCGATGTCTTTTATTACAAAGCGCGAGCGCGTGTTCGATCAATATGAATTGTACAATTTGCCAACGCGAAATGAGGGGAAGCTTAAGGCGTACGCATCATGCACGGATGCGAGAGCCTGGTCCCACTTCTCTTCGGATAAGACGGAACACCTGGTGGAGTTCATAAAGCGGAATAATGAAGTCTACCCTGGAAAGTTTATTCCCTTAAATGTGATCATCGACTTGATGATGGGGTCGAAAAACGCCGAGATCCGGCGGCTAAAGCTCAAGTTAACACAATTCGAACAAATGCTAGCCGCTTACGATCTTCTCGAACTCAATTGTGATCAGAAATGTGAGATCGAAAATGCTGTAAGTTTTTAAATAAGTTTATGTTGATGCAATTTCTAATTATACGACTACTTTTAAGCGAGATATAAATGTATCTCTTTTGGAAATAGTCTTTGAATTTTGAATGTTTCAGCACGCTATGATAAAAGCTGCAAACCGGGAATTAGAGGACGTGGTAAGCGCAGTCAGTTTTTTTTTCTATTTTTCTTAGAAACTCACTGTTACCGTTTTTCACTCGAAATACGAGCAAGTAAACGTGGAGTGAACAAGCCCTAACATTGGTTTAAACTTTCACGATTTTCACACATTACTTGATTTTATAATCGGCACTTAACCATGTGTAAACACATTTTATTTACCGCCCAACAAAGCGTTGGACATCGTGGGTGTTGTGTCGGTCTAACGACAACCCTAGTGCACAAATATAGAATAGAATAGAATAGAATCGTTTATTTCATGTTATCAATGTCACAATATTACAATTGGAAATACAATGTCAAGGGATAACTATGATCGTCAGTAATAAAATTATAATAATAATAATGAATATAAAATAAAGTAGTATAACTACTGCTTGTCGAATAAAATAAAATTAAAATTGTTTCAAAAGAAACTATAATGATACTATACACTATACATATAATGAAGACTATGAGCGAGTAGTTACATAAAACTCGACGGGTTGAAGGCATGCGCCTGTTCAATTCCTTCGAGACCACGGAAGAAAAAACAATGGAAGTGCCTTAAGCATCGATAACTATCGAAACTGCTCGCTGTCGTCAAAACGCACACAAACAAATGATAAACACTACGAAATCTTGATAATGATTGGTCTCAGTTTCTAATTAAAAAAATTAACAAATTGTTGATATAATTTAAACTTTACCCAGTCGCTAGAACGTTCAAAGTTCAATACTACCTTTATTGCAAGTTTGTTCGTTTTGATTTTATATTGAAAATTTATTCAACGTGCTGCCAGGAGCTGGACTACGATGAACGATTAACATGTGAATTTATATGGTAAACAGAAAATTGACATTTTTTTAAAATAAGACTTACTGATGATATGAAATACTACGGGTAATATTTTTGGAGCGACCATCATTTTTGCACTCCAAAACAGCAGAATAAGGCATTTTTCTGCGATTTTAGAGAATTTGCGCGAAAGAATGACACAACCTTACTATACAAAGCGACAATGGCGAACTAAAGACCGAGACCTAATGTTGGCACGCGTCAGACGCTAACTGACTACTTCTTCTGTATTTATTGTTCTATGTTCGAGACCACGAACGTTGCAATATGTCCGAAACGTCGAGGTAAATAAAATATCTTTACAAACGATTAAGTCCCGATTTCAAACGAATAATATAAACAAGCCCTGTCGTACATTATACAGGTAACTTTTAAATTAAATCTCTTTTCCACAGGACTTGCACTTGGATATATCTGGATTAACAGAGGTAAACAACGAGTGTTATCTATGCTTTCATAGAAAGTAACTGAAAAGTAATTGCCAATTTTCTTTTCAGATCATAGATTCTGAAGATTTTGCGGTAATTATTAAACTCTATTTGGCAATTACAAATTAATATATAACATTAGTATACTTCTTTAATACATTTTCTGTATTAACTTTTTTTTCAGACTGGGAAATCGAGAGGCGACGAGGTAATAAAAAAACAGCAAGTGTGTTAATTTATTTCTAGTTTATTTTATCACAGTGTTTGTTTATGCGTAATTTATTTTCTTTTAGCCATTTTCTGCAAGGAGTAAATACTCTGAGGTATGTAGGATTACGTACGGACTTAATCCATTTCGACAGGAAAAAGTGCAACTCAAAGTTCTAGCGACTCTTTTATTTGAAATATGTTATTATTTCCACGTTCCAATGAGTTAAGCATGTTAAAAGATTTTTTAAATTTTTTTAAATTAAGTCATTAGGTTTTCACACGTATATCGCTTAGGTTAAATGTTCCAATCACCACGCGATTTTTGTTTATTTTTTTAAAAATTGTTTTTCAGTCTGTTACGCCCATGATAAAAAGCAGAGATGTAAGTGTTATCGAATGTTACGTTTGAAATTAATTTGTTACGTTTGAAATTAATTTGTATATTTTTTATTAAGACACGTATAGTTATATAAGTACCAATAAAGTATGTTAACTGCCTCAGTGGCCGAACGGTTACCATGCCGGACTGCCACGCTGAGGTCCTAGGTTCGTTTCCCGGGAGAAATATTTGTATGGCCTACAGGGAAAGGTCTACAAGGAAATGAAACTATTTGTACAGATTTAAGTCGTGTGTATTTGTTTTTTTTTTGACCTGTAAAGAGCCCGAAACGTTAGTTTGTTTGAAAAAACAAATATACCCTATTTAAATCCGGAAAAATAGTGTCATTTCCTAATTGTAACCATCGCGAAACCTAAGAACGCGATATGGCCTACATTTATTTCTCTCGTGAGTTTGGGTGTAATTTGTGGTTGTCTATGTGTGTGTCCATCGCACCCGTGACACAGGGTTTCCCTAGTACGAGGCTATGTTGAGTGTGTGCGTTATTTTTATTATTATTGCGCGTTATTATTTTATTTTGCAGACTAGCAAATCCGGAGGAGACGAGGTAATAATTCGGTAACATTTTTTTTTAAATGATCTTCATCGAATGAATTGAGACTCGTATCAAATAATTTACAACGAATGCGAATATACTTATTAGGTATAACATTTAAATTCTCCCAATAATATTTGAAAGCATTTCGGACATGAAATTTTTTTTTCGAATCTAAGGTTCTATTCACACTGGCGCAGAGTCGAAGCGTCGCGTCGCATCTTGTTTTTCAAGTAGGTACAACGCATGGCGAGGCGCATCATCGCGCGACGACACTCACATTACCGTGTCCGGGTCACAGTGCTGGACCAGTTCAGAGACTTTGAACATTCGTGAATGACGCTCGTGCTCGACAGTATACATAGTTGATATCGATCTTATTATAACTGCTCTTATATCTGAAGCTGAAGAGGAAGAAACTGAAATTGTATCAGCAGCTGAAGGGAGAAAAAGAAAAGGGAAGGGAATGAACTAATTTTGAAAACATTTAAGCCGCTCCTCCGTGACAATCTCTGAAACATATTTTTCATACTCTTCGACAGCCTCTTCAGGTAATGAAAATCGTTGACCGCGTAACTGGTCCTTATTTTTTGGAAATAAATAAAAGTCACAAGGGCCAGGTCGGGACTGTAAACGGGATGACTCATAATGTCAACATTGTTCACCTTCAAAAATTCATTTATCTATCTTGCCATGTGAGAATTGGCATCATCGTGGTGCAAGATGATACGGCGTTTACGGTTATTTTTACGGAGTTTGTCAATAACGTCCGACAAACAAATGGTCGTGTACCAATCACTATTCACGGTACAACGATTCTCCAAAGCAACAGTAGCCACGTTTCCAGTTTTACTAAAAAAAGAAGCAATCATCCGCTTTGCACGCTTTGCACTTTGCATGCGCGCCACTTTGGTTCGTTTCGGCTCATCTCGAAAGATCCATACGCTCGATTGCTGCTTTATTTTGGGATCGTAACTATAAATCCATGTTTCGCCATTTATTACTATGTCCCACACCAAATTTGACGCCCCTTCGTTGAATCTGGTAAGCATGGCATTGCACCAAGTGACGCCATCCGTCTTTTGATCCTCAGTCAAATTGTGTGGGATCCACCGAGAGCACAACTTTTTCACACCCAAATGTTTGTGTAGTATTGATTGTATTTGGCACATGCCTATGCCTAAAGATGCCCGAATCTCACGGTATGTCACATGCCTGTTTGTTTTGATCATAAGGCGCACAGCATCGATGTCTTTGTTGTTCACAGCAGTAGACGGGCGACCATCATGAAATTCGTCACTGAACTTCACACGACCGCGTTTGAATTCTACAAACCAGCTATAAATAGTCGTCTTGCATGGTGCTTCATCGCCAAAAGCAGTTTGAAGCCGAGCGAAGCTCCGCAGAGCTGTTAAATTACACTAGAAAGTCGTAGAAAATCATACTACGAAAATTTTTATGAGTTTAATCCATGGTGATGTAGAATATCAATTTCTAAAAGGTCGCCACAGTGTAAAAACAAGTGACAGTCAGATGAAACAAACTATTCTACAGCCAAAGAGTTCCATTTTCTATTACTTTTTAAATATTGTTTATGTAAGTGGCTAGTTCCGGGAACTTATAGTGCGCTCTATGTATAGATAGACATTATATCTATTTTTAAATTAAGTAAATTAATTTTTCGTCTTCATCCATTGTCGCGCTCTCATCTCGTCGCAGTTCGGCAATGCTATGTCTGGTGTGGTTGGCGTCTAATGCGTCACTGCGTGCGAGTAACGCACGGCGATACCCCTCGCCTTCAACATGTTACACAACATCCATATTTGCGTGACACAAATTTGTACCTTAATAATAGGAGAATAGATATGAATATGCTATAGGCGAAATACATGACGCGTCGCGACGCTTCGACTCTGCGCCAGTGTGAGTTGAGCCTAAATCGCGTACGTTTGGTTTAGTCAGTCGTGATAGTGGGGCGGGTAAAAACCCAGAAACGTTCGTTTGTTTGCAAAAAAAAATAGTTTCATTTCCGATGCATAGCAATCCTCAAAGCCTTAGGCTCGATAACTCGATAGAATTTATTGAATTGTTTTTAAGTCTATAAACTAATTAGTGTACGTCTTGAAAAATCGTAAAGTCGTGCCTTTTTATTTGGAACTTCGCAGCCGTGGGTGCCAGTTGTGGAGTCGATTCATGAAATAGACCTAAAATGTGTCTGTGATGTTGGCACATGTGAGTGACTTTCTGTAAGTAAGATCATGTTTAGAGATAGAGTTACGTATTAAAATCGTGGTATTGTTTTTCAGCTGTCCACGATCCAAGAATAGTAGAAATGCAGGAGGTTCTTATCAGCAAGGACGCCAGGCTAAGTGCTCTTCAAAATACCATTGCAGTAAGTACATAACAGCTTTAGTAAATGGTTACTAAAATTTGCAAGAGTAAAAAACACGGTTAACTATTTCACAGGTAATGGAGAATGACGTTTGTGAACCTTATTGCATTTACGCCCATATTTACACGGCTCTAGAAAAAATATTTGCAACATTGCGACAGGTTGACAAATACAGATTATATTTAGATCTACTGGTTAGTTACCCATGTATTAAGATGTTTAAAACACAGAATTACAGTAAATTGTAACAATGGACGATAACATTAACTTGTTTTCAGTCGACAGGGAAAGACATTCGTTGCATAGATATTAAAAGAAAAATACTTTTCAAGTTAAAGGTATTAGAAAAATTTTGCGTTGCTTTGATTGCACCCTGTTCTGAGCATTCACCCAAAGACGAAACTTGCAAATGCTATAGAGCCGAAATCTCACACACGCAGACAGCCTTTGCAATTACTTCTTCGGGAGCAAAAAAAGACAGCATAGATGTTAAAAGAGCTCATCTAGTCGCTGATATCATGCAACATGATGAAATGAAAGATATACTCAGCAAAGACAGTATATCGCAATTAAAAGACCCGGAAACAGATATAGGTTTGGATATGTACAGTATAGACACGGAAAATTTGAATCGGCTGAAGAATTTGCAAGTTAACTACGATGATTTGATGTCTTGCTATGAAAATTTAAAGCATGAGAGAAATAATTTGAGTCTTAGATGCCAGCAGTATGAAGATTTAGACAGAGAATGTAATGCTTTAAGAGAGCAACTAAGAGAGTATACAACATTGTACAGTGAAAGAGAACACTACAGAAGACGTTCGGAGGATCTCGATAGTTTAAAACAACAATACATAATATTATCGGATGAAACAGCAAGTTTGGAAAATCAATTAAAGGCCGAAATAGAAATAAATTCGATTAAAACAAATACACTTGAAGGTTTAAGAAACGAAAATATTGAACTGGAGAAAAGATTAAATGACGTGACAATTGCTTTAGAAAAGAAAGAAAATGCTTTACAATGTAAATTAAAAGAAACTGAATGCAAAGTAATGTGCCAAGAACAGCAGATAAGAAGTTTATCAAATCAGATAGATAGACTGCTTGAACAAGAACCTGACAAAGTCAGTTTTTAATTTTAACTACTTTAACTTTTGGTGGTTTTCTTTGATATATTATGTACTGAGTATTCTGTAATAAAATTTTCAGCAAAACGAGGATATCACCAAGTCAATGGCTATTCTAGACGAAATTGAATCGTTGAAAGATCAAATAAGAACATTAAAAGAAGCGTTGCACAATAGCGAAGAAGAAAAACAACAACTGCAAGATCAATATCAGGATCAACTGCAAAATATCAATGATCTTAAAATGGAAATAGAAGAATGGAAATGTAAAAAAGAATCAACTTAAAAATGCAACGGTAGCAATGATAGTTTATACATTTCGGAATACGCTATCACTTTTTAATCAATTTATTTTAATTTTAGGTACTTGTGAAAAAGCGCTTCAACGTAAAGAGTATTTGGAGCAATATACTGATAACTTTAGAGAAGAAGCCCTTAAATTAATGGACGAAAATAAAGAACAAACCACAGCAGTCGCTAATTTAATTAATGTATTAAACAATAAATCACTGGAAATAAACAATTTAAGGGAAGAACTGGAACAAAAAAATAAAGAAAACAACGAATTGTACAACCAGCTTCAAAATACGAAGCAAACATTTAGCAATAACGTACTGGAACTGGAAAATCAAAAGCAAGATGTGCTTTGCTCTCTTGAGCTAGCAAGACAAGAGAGTCAAGAGTTACTTCAGAAAGTGAAGGATTATGACGAATTAGTACACAAAAAAGAGGATTTATCTAAAACTTTGGTATCTCAGGAACAAGATCACATTGAAGTAAAAAATATGTTAATAGATTGTATTGAAGAAAATAAAAAACTTAAACTGGATTTAGCCAATCAAGAGAACGATAATGCTTTTCTTTCACAAGAACTTCAAAAATTAAAAGATGTTCATGACAATGCTCTGGCTATTATTAATAGCTTACAAGAAGAAAAGCGTGCGTATAGATTGTCTTTAGAAATAACTAAAAAAGACAGCGAAACTTTGGAAGAAAAACTGAAACAATATGAAAATCTCAGAGAAAATTTTGAGTCCCTTAGACAATCAAATGAAAGCCTTCAACTAGAAAAACTTGAACTGGAGGACGAACTGAGAGAAAAAGCCAATGAGCTTAATGACACTTTTGATATGGTTGAGTTAACAAAAAAAGAAAGTGAAAAATTACTGGAAAAAGTACAGCAGTCTGAAAAACTTAAAGATAATATGATAAATCTTGGCACTGATTTCCAAAAACTAGTCGGTGAAAAGGAAAGTTTATTAAAGGAGTTAGAAGATAAAAACAAATATTTAGTTATTTCACTACAAAACCTTAACATGCTTAAGGCCGAGAATGAAGAGTTATTTAAAAAATCAAATCGATTTAGTGATTTAGAAGAAGAAATAGGAGAGTCCAAAATGGCTTACAATGAACTTCTAGCAGAAAAGAATTTATTGCAAATTGATTTTGATAATAAAACGAAAGAATATAATGACTTATACAATGCATTAGAAAATAAAATTGAGGAAAACAGAAATTTACATGATCAAGTGAAATCCCTACAAAATCATCACAAAGAAGCACAAAGTAATTTGGCTGCCTTGCATGATGAAACTATGAAAGTTCAAACAACACTAAAATCTGTAAGACGAGAAAGTGAAGTTTTAATGGATAAGTTAAAACAGTATAATAGTCTGATAAACGAATACGATAAATTGAAAAAAGTTCACGACCAAATTTGCAAGGAGAATGAAAAATTGCTTTACGACTATGAGATGCAACTAAAGGATTTAAATCGATTGGAAGCGGAAAACCGTGAATTAAATATTTACAATGTAAACCTGACAACACACAACGAAGACTTAGAAAGAGCTTTAGTAGACGCACGAACAGAGGTATAAATTTTCAGTACAGTTTACAAGGATACTTATTGAAGGAATAAGAAAATATTATAATTCAAGTTAGCAAACCATAAGGCTGAATGTAGTTAACGTCACCATGTTGTATAATTGCAATAATATCTCGCTAAAGTTTTCGCTGATTTTATCCAATTCCAGTCAAACGTAATTATTCACGTAGCAACTTATTCTGGATAAACAGCTTGTTTTATAATCAAACTTACCGCCAATACTTATCAGACGCAATCGATATTCTCGCAGTATATCTGTACATAGAACCATTCGTAATCGAGAATTCGCGCGGTACAACTTTATTACGACTTCAACTGTTTGTAGTAAATATCACAATGGCTGTAGCTGAACAAACAAGTTGTTTTTATAAGTAAATTGTCTTTTTTAAATCCGATTTCCTGTTCACTCATTTTCTTATATTCCACAACTTTTTATTATACTTTTTATTAGTTTGTATATTTGGGTTCCATGTTTACGTGTGATGGTAAATATGAAAGAGACATTGAAAGGAGAGTGAACGCAGAGAATCAAGTGAATGGTGCCTTGCACGCCTTCATGAGCATCTAGAAAGTGGCTGTGCATGAGGGAGTGCTGGTTCCTACACTTGTGTATGATAGTGAATGTTGGATTTAGCAGTAGAAGCATGAAAGTAGACTTAATGCAGTAGAAATGAAAGCTTTGAGTAGAAATGAAAGCTCTGATGGATAAATTACGGAACAGTATCAAAAGAGTACGTTGCGGCGTAGAAGAAGATATAGTGACAAAGATAGAGAAAGGGATGCTTAAATGGTTCGGACATGTAGAGAATGAATGAAAGAAGATTGACAAAACAGATTTATAAGACGAGTGTGAGCGGGCAATTTGGTATGGTCCGACCAAGACGAACTTACCATGACCAAATTGAAGTCATCCTAAAGAAGGGCCAGGTCAAGTGTACCCTTAACCGACGAGCGTGTATGAAAGCATTGATTGATTGCGTGTTGATGAAGCGAAAGATTTGTGTCAGGACCGTAGCAAATGGAAGACTGTTGTCTCTGCCTACCCCGATGGGAAAAAGGCGTGAAGTTTATGTACGTATGTATTTTTATTATATTCATCTGTGCATTATCTTCTTCTTTTGAGTTTTCGTTTTGTTACCATAACCTCAAATTGGAAAATATGTTTCATAGATAGATGTATTTTTTTATTATTAACACTTTATTCTAAATCATTTACAGCTTGCAAGAAAAACTAGTGAACAGCCGGCGTACTTGGATGTGAAAAAAGAAATAGATGAAATGAAAGCTGAAAAACTTAACAGTCATCAAAAGATAAGAGAATTATTAGGCCAGCTCGAAGCATCGGTAAGAATTTGTTAAAACTGAAAAATGTTTTTCATTTTTTTTTTGTTATAAAATTTAAATCGTATTTATATTTTCCAGGAGCATATTATTTCAAATTTAAGCGAGGACGTAATAGAGCGTGATGATAAAATAGCGATATTACAGAACCATATCAACTGCCTAGATGATGAAGTGAGAAAGTTACACGAGAATTTGGCAGAAGTTGTCAATGCCGGCGAAGGAATAAAGGAGAGTGGTGTTCAGAAGATTGATCAATCCATAAGTCTATTGGAAGCTCATCGTTAGTGGTCAAAATTTTACCAAATGTGGATAACGTTAAATATAGAAAATTATACGATTCGAAAAGTTAGCCTTTGTCCAATGTTTTACATCAGTTCCGCTCATAACTAACACTTTATTTTAAGGTTATCTATATTTCACGTAAAGATCCACATTAATTCATTTTATCACACTCATAACGTAACTTCTAAACAATTTTGCAGATTCTAAAGCAACGCACAATATGAAAATGGAAATAGCAAGACTTCAAAATTCCAATACAGACATGGAGAAAGAATTATGCAGGGCCAGTGATGAATCTATCAGAGCTAAACAAAGTCATACTGCAAAAATACTCCACTTACAAAATGAACGAGAAATAATTGTTACTGATATTAAACAAATAGAAATGACTAGTATTGGAGATAGTGCTTTAACACAAGATCAGTGCAGTCTTGAAGAAATCTTAAGGTCATTAGAGAGGATTAAAAAGCACATAGAAGATAAAAATTCACAATGTGCCGCCTTGGAACAAACCTTACTCAAAGTACAGACATCTTCCCAATTGCTTCTTAGTAAAGCTGATGAAGCAAAGAAAATAATTGAAAAAGAAAAACAAAAAGTTATTCACGAAAAGGAAGAAGCTATTGCCGATAGACAAAACATGGAAAAACAGTTGCTACACCTAAAAGACACATTAGAACAACAAGCCAATCACGACAAAACTGTTATCAAAGACTTAGAAGGGGAAATATTAAATCAAAAGTTAATATTAGATAAAATAAACAGTTCAACACATAATTATATAACTAAACTTGAAGAAGAAATGCAATCTATGCAAAACTTGTATCAAAATTCTTTAGCCAAAATTAGTGAATTACAAGATAAATTAAACAGTGCGTCAAGTGAAAAAGCTAATGTTGATAATATTTTACTTAAACTTCACGATGACTTGAAAGAAAAAAGCAAAGAAGTAACTTCTCTGCAAATAGAATTAAATGAAATAAAAAATACACCAAAAACCGATTTTAAGAGTCAAACTGGAACTTCAATAGCTAATTTCTTGAATGAATCTATTCAAACTGACAAAATGAACTATGCAGACGAAATTAGATACAACGATCCGCCGGATCCGCAAAAAATAGAGGACGTTGACGTTATGAATTTAAGAAAACCAATAGATTTACGTCCGAAACAAATTCCACAATCCTTTAATGAGGTACAAATATTAACAGCTAATATTGAACCAACTTTTGATTCAGTCAAAAATACTTATTTAACCTATAAATTGAAACAACTTAGTACTTGTCGTTTAGAACATTGTTCTATCTCTAGTTTTGAGGAAAATCTCGCTGGCCAAAGAGTGGTAGATATTTATAGCAGACAATCTGACATGCATACAGATTCATCGAAACTCGTGGCTAATTTAGACGAAGACAATTCCAAGCAACTCACATTGTCTACTCTTGGTTCAGATGTTTTAAATAATCCATTCGTATCAACATCTGAGAAATCGACAGATAAAGATCTTTTTCTTATTTATCACGATAGTGATGGAAGTCGCGTCGACGAAGTATTCGATAATAAAGGTACATGGTCACATGCGGCAAGCTCCAGTCAGCCTGAGGTCAGTATGAGTGAAATGGCAAAGCGGTCTATCCGTCTTAATCAACAAAATCCGAATGAATCACGCGACACTCTCAAATCCGAAAATCAAAAACGTCCTGATGAAGAATCCTATGAGGTAAATCCTGAAGATGGTGTCAGCAGAAAAGAACTTATGATTCAACCTAACGAAAATCAATTGAATAAAGCAGCAGCTAGGGACAGTCAATACAAAACAGTTGTGGGACCCCCTAAAACAAAAACAGTTAGGTATTCAGGTGAAGTTACTGGGTTGCCAGAAAAAGAGCCAAATAATGAGATGGACTCTGTTGGTGCCAAAAAGCAATTAGATGCTCATGACTTTAATCAATTTAAAACAGATTTATTACATAAAAAATCATTACCGAGAGATTATGTTTACGCAGAAGACGTTAATCAAAGTAGAGCTATATTAGAAAATGACGATATAACCATTAAAGAATTGCAAGAATCTATTCCAAGTAAACCAAAGTATTACTCAGAAGTAAGCTCTAGTAAATTTCCTCAAGATAGTAGTCAGACTAAAGACTTAAACCATGGGACGCTATCAAGTGATCCACAAACTTGGCCTTTAAGAAGTGATCCTAATATCAGAGATACAGACAAACACAAGTCTGATCAGAAACGAAATAATTATTCTGACGAAGAGAATTTCGAAGTTAGAGGTATAAAAAATAAAGATATATATATTAGGGACGCAGAGAACCAAATCTCAGATCACAGAAATAGAAATATCCAAAATGACTTTTCTGCTTTTGACGCAGAAGACATTAAACCAAACCCAAACATAAATAAATATCGTAACAGTTCCGAACGAAATCAAACGAATCAATATTTTACGGATAAGGAACCTGTAAAACATATGAAACTTTCGTCAGACTCTAATAAAGATGATAAATCGCACCATCAATTATCTAGAGTAGGGGCAGATGTTTTGATATTTAAAAACGAAAACGTTAAAAATGACAGTCCTGTCAAGTCTCGACTTGGTAGTTTTGGTTTAGAATACATTTTAGACACAGTAAAACAAGAATTAGCACCTAATAATAACGAACCTAATTCACAAATCAGAAGAACCCGCAGTGACGACGCATACAATATGTTCAGAGATGGTGGTGTCAGTGAATCCAGTCCAGGAATGACAGCTGATAAGACTGTGTCTAGTTTTAGCGGAAGCCCCAGTAATAGAAGCCCATCTAAATCTGTTACCGAACAAAGCGTGATGGTCAACATAGACCCAACAGAAGATTATGGAAATAAGATCCGATTCTTGAGCAAAACATTACAAACTATTGAAAAAGATTACAAGAAAAAAATAGACGCCATCAAAGTACAGTATGACAGTCACATAAAAAGCATAATAAACGAACACAATCATGGTGTCAAAAGTATACAGAGCCTTCATGAAGAAACATTAAAAGATGTCATAAAAATACATGAAAATGAAGTAGAGAGTTTACGAAGTATGAGTATTGAGGCCATGCGGAAAGCTGAAAAACTTGAAAACGAAAATCGATTACTGAAATTCAAACTACAAACTTGTAAATGTTTGCCTGAGGTAAGATAGATTACATTTGATCTATAAATTATTTGTTATTTAAATTGAAAAATTATATGACGTTGGTTACTTATTAGGAACAAGCCAAAATTTGTACACCCGATACAAATAGGAAGAAATCCCGAAACCGTGGTGATATGAAAATGTTAACAAAAACAAACGTTGAGGCTTTCAATGTAAAGCCGAAGATGAAGACGCACGGTCCCTGCACTTGCTCTCTTGACGTTAATGTATCTGACACCATTCGTAACATATTTGAGCAAGTGGATGTGGAACAGAGAAAAATAGCTGAGCATGCATATATGAAGTATATTGCTACCAAAATATTGTCTGCTACCATTGAGGTAACAAATTTTTGCTTCTAGGAAACTTACTTCGCGTTATTCATAGATATACGGGGCTATTTTTAATTATATGATATTATACAATAATAGCAATGTCGTCTGAAGAGGTTGTGGGATAATCAAAAATGACCCTAAAATTAATAGGCCAAGTTAAGTATGTTTTCAGGCATTGGACGCACAAGAGTTATCATTCCTTCACTTCAAAGTGTGCCGAGCGTGGAAAAGTAAAATAAGCAAAGAAGAGGCTCTACAGAAAAAAATTGATTCTTTAGAGAATGAACTAATGAATAAGCAGCGACACGCACAGCAACATAGTAAGTAATATTAAGTTCATGTATCTACTGCTATATACGTTCCTCCAGTGGGAACTAGTTTAATCATCATCATCACAGGCACAATTACAGCCGTACTAGATGTGACGGACAACATACTTGCCGAACAGGATTCTGGTCGAGGTACTATCCTGACCCTGTTGGACTTTTCACGTGCTTTCGATAGTATTAATGATTATCTTCTCCTCGCGAAGCTGTCATATTAGGGCTTGAATGATTCTGCGGTGCAATGGTTTGAGAGTTACGTTGGAGTACGCTCGCAGGCGGCCAGGTTGTCTAGGCCGGACGAAGTCCGTATTGTTTCCGACTTTCTTCCGGTTAATCGGGGGGTCCCGCAAGGATCTATGTTGGGACCAATACTGTTCATCATCTACATTGCTGATTTACCTAGGGTGATTAAGCATTATAGGTACCATTGTTACGCGGATAACGGTCAGCTATACATACCAGTATACTCAAATAACCTACACGAAGCGCAATCACGCATGAATGATGACCTGAGAGCGATTGCTGCTTGGTCTGCTGAAAATGCCTTAATTTTAAATCCCATTAAGTCTAAGTTTATCGTACTTGGCAGTAAAAATCAAATCAATATCATTATAGATAAGGGTCTTAGAATAGAGATCGCAGGTAGGGATATCGCTCGAGCTGTGGAGTTGAAAAATCTTGGCATCACACTAGATGGTCAACTAAGATTCGAGAGTCATCTGTTGGGACAGAATAGAAACTGCTTTTACCGCCTAAAAATTTTGTACAAAATACATAATTATGTAAATGAATGAGTACGTAGTACTCTCTGCGAATCTTTGATCATTTCCAGGCTCAGTTACGAAAACATTGTTTGTGATCCTCGTCTGTTAAGTAAAACCCAACGGCTGATTCAACGCCTACAGAATGCATGCTGTAGATTTTGCTTTTTGATTCCCTCCGGTAGCCACATCACACCGTTCTTTAACAATGCGAATATGCTGAACATGAACTCAAGAAGGCAGTTGCATTTCGCGTGTATGTTGTTTGGCGTGGTGAAATTTCAGGAACCTGTACAGAAAATTAAGGTTCTCCGCATTTCACGACTGATAATCCCAGCAAATCCGTACTGTCTCTGTTGGCGGGTCAAATTCATCGTACTGTGGCTTTTACGGGAAGTTTTCGCTATCACGCCACAAGGTGTTGGAATAATATTCCACCTCCACTTAGGCTTCTCAAATCTAAGTCCACCTTCAAAATGCATTTAAGGGAACTTATTTATGAGAGACAAAAACTGGATAATTTGCAGCGCTTTGTATAGCGCGGGCTTCTGAAACACCAATTTGTAAAATTAATATTGAATATATATAATTAATTTTCGTCCTATTTCTTTGTATTTTCTTGTTTTTTTTGCAAGTTGGTTTTTTTTAATTTCATGTTTGCCACATCAGTACGCTCCCACCAACCAACACGTTAACACTGGACATGCAACTACACTCTGCACGACTTACACATTACTTCCACATTGCTTTTTGCTGTTGATGCACCACACTGCGTTACCCTCTAGGCGATAGCTGAAAATCAGTGCGTTGCTTTTGAGCAACACCCGCACTGAGCTATGGCCTGTTGGGCTTGCTGCAGCACTAACAACTTTCTTTTAAGTAATTAACAGATATATGTTGTTTGTTATGTATATTTATTTGATTTCCTACTTTTTTGTTATTTTGTTTGTTTTGCGTTTTTTTTTTGTCTTTTTTCGATACTTGTTGTTTAATATTATTGTGTGTACTTGTGGAAAGTCAATAAACGTATTCTATCTATCTATCATCAACCCATTGATGAGCACGAACCTACTCTCAGGCGAGAGGTTCGGCCGGATTTCTGCTGGCCCAATCTTCTTCGACGTGTAGGTTTCCCCACGACGCCGACGTTTTCATTCGCCGAAAAGCTCATAGTAAATTTCAAATTAAACTTCACACATATTAAAATACAGAGGTGCGAGGCAGGATTCGAATCCACGGCCCTCTACTTGAGAGGCGGTAGGTCAAACCATTAGGCTACCACGGCTCTATAACTGAACTAGTTTCCTTTATATAGTTAGTTCCTTTATACAGGTAGTTTGATCAGCAGGTCAGGTTTATCCTGCTTTAATTTCCAAACGGTGTTGGCTCAGTTGCAGAGTTGGACCGCAAAGTTGCGGAAGAGCGACGACGGCTGCAGGAGGTGCGTGAGGCCGTGTGCCGCAGCTCGCACGAAACGCCATACGGATCTTTGCCCACCGGCGTTTCGTCCACAGGAGCTTCGCCCACCAGCACCATCATCGTAGACACCATCTCACAGACACGCGCAATCATCGAAGACTGCGGGTAAGGGCTCAACATGAAAAGTACAGATTTCCCAATAATAATGGAAACAAATCACAATGTCTATACAAATGCTCTGATTTGGCATTCACGGCCTCCTGCGTGCTTTATGATGAAAGTAACAATATTATAAGATATTGTTAATTGTATCTATACATATATATATATATAATATATATGGTGTTATATATACTATATTATATTTATTATGCATATATATATATTGTATATTAATAATATGCCAGTGTTGTGATAAAAATAGAACTGAGAAGATGCTTGCCGAAACAGTAACGCCTTGCAAATTGAACTCATATATCGCACTATTGATAGGTACTTTAGTATATTAACTCAAAAAATGTATTAAATTTTTATGGAATTGATATTCAATTATTTTTGTGAAATTACTCCAATAATTTGTGATAATTATTAATACAAAGATCGAACACTCAGAAAAAATTCCTTCGATCCGGCCGGATTCAAACCGACGTCTTCCAGCATACCGTGCCAGACGCTATACCAACTAAGCCACGGAACGAACCAGCGAACCTCTCGAATTCTTCTAAGTGCTTGTTGTCGTGTCTTTGTATTTGGTTTCGGTCCATGGCTTAGTTGGTATAACGTCTGACACGGTTTGCTAGAAGACGTCGGTTCGAATCCGGCCGGATCGAAAGAATCTTTTCTGAGTGTTCGATCTTTATATTAATAATTATATCAATGAAAAAGTGTATTTAGAATAAGTGTGTTCAGAATCGGTGAAAAATGATTGTTCACTTCCCGTGAAAGATTAGTAAAATTTATGTATAAAATAAAATTTACTACAAACATCTAAACAATTTCATACTTTCCAAGTATATTTAAAAATAAAAGGTAAAAAAAGTTCATATTTTTGAGTAAGGCTGTTTTATCCAGAACTAGCTCCGGTAAAGTTTGTCTCATTTTCTTACAATATTCTAATGACGGTTTTATTAACGTGTAGAGAATCAAATTTTACGTTTAGCAATGGTATGATCTTGAATTTCACGTATTTTGAGTTACGACACTATTGCAATAGGCAGTGCGATATATATATTTTAAACACATTTTAAAACATTGTCAATGTGGGTATCATTATTAGTGTATTGTAAATTAATAAAAACATGGGCAAAGTAACTATTGATTAGAATACCGTACGGCAATCTTCACGCACCTGTGACTGACACGATCACTGAAATCGAGAATCGATGTTAAAACACATCGATTAAATTATCGGAAGTAATATCGTGGTGAGAAATAAAATAACTCCTTCTCTTTTTTTGTTTAAAATAAGCGTGTGTTTAAAACGCGCGAACTTTTTTCCAACCTGTTTTACCTTGGTTATTCCTCGCAAAGCAACACTGCTGTATTTTGGGTTAAAGGGTGGAGCGAACTTAAGATGTAGCTGACAATTAACACGTTGCATCAGTACACCGTTTTCCCCTTTAAAAACATAAAAATAATATTAAGTGTTAAAACTTCTTGGTTTTCGGTTTTTAATAATAAACACCCCAAACTATTTCATAAGTATATTATTATTAGTATTTGTTCTTTTATTATTTCACTTCATCTTGTCACTCATTCCTGTATGTTCATAATAATAATAACGCAAACACTGAACATAGCCCCGTACTAGGGAAATCCTGTGCCGCGGGTGTCATAGACACATTCAAAGACAACCACAAATTACACCCAAATCGCGAGAGAAATAAATGTAAGCCATACAAATATTTCTCCCGACTCGAGAATCGAACCTGGGACCTCTACGTGGCAGATTTTAACCATTCGGCCACGTAGGCAGTTAAATAATATACATACTATATTTTGAGTTTTTATGGCCACACGCCAAAATCGAATTGTGTTAACTTAAGCTTGTGAAAACCCTCGCAAATAGACGGACACTAGGTGGTGCTGATCTCACGCATATTTTTTTCTTGATGTCGCTAGATGTGGATGCAGTAGGACAATTGTCGACATTGGCGAAAGGCGATCGGCTGGTGACCTGGTACCCGGGTTGTCAAATTCACCCATTCGATCTAGGGGAGCACGCGTGAGGCAATACGAGGTTAACAGGGTATGTTGCCAATAAGACGCTTGCCGTAGCATATCTAGAATAAAATTAAAACTTGCAAACCTGTCTTTCTTCCATAGCTTCATTCGTCACTTTTAACAACAAAGTGATAAAATCACAGGACAAGACAGTGAATTTTTAATTAGCAAACGTCGTCGCCTTACTACGGCAATTAAGAGATACGGTGGACCACAATTCAAATATAGTATAATAAGACCAAGTAGGGCAACCTTGCCTGTTTGGCGCATCAATGCTTAAACTTCACTCTATCTATGTCTATCAAACCGGTCCTAAACTCTATTTACCTGCAGCCAGCTACTGAACATGAAGTATTCGTAATAATAAAAAGTATGTCAAACAAATAGTTACTGAACGGATGAAATACCCGCTGCACTAATTAAGACTTGTGCCAGTGAATTATCCGGACCAATAACGTCATTAATAAATCAATCCTTTGAAGAAGAGTGTTTTCCGTCAAAACTCAAAGTAGAAAAAATAAACCAATATTTAAAAAAAGCGGTAAAAGAGACGATGTCAGTCAATACAGGCCTATTGCATTGCTACCAGTCATATCAAAAATAATTGAGAAACTAATGGTTAATCGATCGACTCAGTTCTTGGAGAAATATAAGTTGCTAAATAATAATCAATTCGGTTTTCGTAAAAAACGTTCAACTACGCTCGCGGTAATTAAATATATTCAGGAAGCGTACAACTTTATAAATGATGGTAATTGGGCAGTAGGGTTATTACTCGACATGTCCAAAGCTTACAACATGGTATCCCATGAAATACTATTACAGAAATTACATAACATAAGAGGAAGAGTGTTTAGATGGTTCCAATCCTACCTACTGAATAGACAACAATATGTGGAAATCGAATATTGGGATAAGGACACCAAATCTATCGTTACATTGAAATCTAACACAAAAACCGTAAATTGCTCTATGCCCCAGGCAGTGTTTTGGCTTGTATCTTATTCATTATTTACATAAATGACCTACCGGAAATATTGAGCATTTGTGTGTAATGTATGCTGACCACATATGGTTACTATTTAAGTGTAAGGATGATGACCCTAGTATTGATAATATAATAAATTCTTTTAATTTGGTTAAAAATTGGCTGTTAGACCACAATCTCAACATTAACCTAAACCTGGACTTAAAAACTGTAGTTACTATGTTAAGCATTGAGGAAGTTGAAAACTTTAGGAATAAACATTGATTCCCATCTACTTGGAAAACGCACAGGTGCATTACAATCAAAATTATCATCATTTACCTACGCATTAGCACTCCTGAAAACGAACACTAATTACAAAGCGGTTGCGACCTATTACGCCTACGCCTACGCATGGCTCAAATACGGCGTCATGCTGTGGGGTAGTAGCACGAATAAAGGAGATATTTTCGTAATGCAAAAGAAATGCATTCGAATACTCATGAATCTCGGCCCTCAAGATAGCTGCCGACCATACTTTATTAAAGAAAACTTTCTTATTTTCCCCTCACTATACATACTCGAATCAGCATTATTCATTAGGCAGCATTTAGAAAAATTTAAATACATAAAGAGTTTGAGAAGGAGTAATCAACTGGAACTCCCCAAATTAAAATTAGAAATGCACAAAAACAGCCCATACTATCGTGCAATAAAAATATACAATAAAATACCGCCTGACATAAAAAACGAAGCAAATGTTAATTTATTCTTTAAAAATTTAAGAAAATATTTAACGAATGAAAGCTATTATAAAATTGAAGAGTACATAAATAAATAATTAATTAAATAATGTAAAAATATTTCAACAATTACACTCCAAATGAACACGATGAATCAAACTATAAATATTTAATAATTAATTGATGATGAGTTTATATACTTACATGTAATTTGACGAATTCATAATATTAATTAATATATTCTCTCGACCTTCTCCATGACGTTTTTTGCTTTAATTTTAGAATTCATTTTGGCATCAATTTTTAAATTTTGACATTTTTTGTTTACGCCGCTCATTCCTATTCTAAAATTTTTAATTTTTTATGTTGTTTCATTATATTTTCTTAAATTGTATTCAATATCTTGACTTGCAGTGCCCTATTCAGGGTCGTAATGTAACACATTTGTAACACCTCATTATGTACATGTGACAATAAATACAAATACAAATGCAAACATACAAGCCACGCTGCTATGTTTGTATGGAGTTACCCTGCTTGGTCTTAATCTACTACTATTCATACTTGGATAGCTTGACCTCTTTAGCCACGTGTATTCACTATTAACCTATTGTGAATTTCAAAAAAACGTAATCTCTATTCGTAGGCGGTGCTGGCAAAATTGGATGTCGAAGAACGTAAAGAAAAGAAGTTGTACGACGAACCTCCAACTCGTCTTCGTCGCGCGCACGATCGCATAGCAAATCGAAAGAAATGACATACGATCATAATTATGACCCGTGGATAAAGGATTCGAGCCTCGAGAATATACGAGTGCCGAATCTGTAAAATTCAAATCTTCAGGTATCTAAAGTAATTTATAAATTCAAAAGGACCTTTAATGACTATGAAATGCGTGTTCTGAATTAAAATAATTAGAATTTGGAGCTCCTTTAATACTCGTAACGAAACTACCATGAAGTGGTGTCGGTGTGCTACTGTGTTTTGTTACTGAAATGTTTACTTTTTGAATTTGTTTTTACCTTTTTTAATAGTTTTTTTTTATAATTTATTATGTGAATACTTGCCATAAATTCCAAAAGTTGTCAAAATAAAGTCGTTAAATGTAATCGTTTTTATTATTGTAATACTTACATTTAAATACAAAAGTTTAATTTACGTCAACCTTTTCCTCTTAGATTTATTAATAAATGATGACTCTTTTGTAACCGACCTAGAATAAGTTTAATTCTAAGTTCGACCACAGTATGCGGGATTATTAATGTTAACTGCGGGCGGTCTGTAGATTGGGTTTTCTGCCACGTCAAACCCATTTGAAGCGGCCTCTTCGGCAAACTTTCGGTATTCGCGTTTGTCATGCAGATCGACCAGTATCTTCCACGCGACCAGGGTAACGATACCGATAAACAGTATGATAGCCACAGCACTACCAACGGGAACTAAAAAGAAAGGTTTTGTTGGTTAACACGTTCCCCGTTTAACTAGAAATCAGAAATTTAGCCCTCACGTGCAATTTTTTTAATTTGCAAATACATTGGAATTGGTATATATCAGTACATTTATGGATGGAAAAACCATTTCCATACGCCTCCTTCCCATTGTCTCAATTTTCTTAAGTGTCCCACATGTGTTACAAGCACGTATGAGTCCTTTACTTGGTGCCACATACATGGTGCATGCACATACTAGTTCTTTGCTTAATGCATCACATAATTCATGCACGAGTTATTTTGACAGATGTTTTAGTTAATACATTTATGGATAGTAAAATCGTTTCCATAAACCCCCTTCCCATTTTGTCATTTTTCCCAAGTGCCCCACATGGGATACACGCACGTACTACTTGGTGCCACATATATAATTACTTTAGTTGTGCAAAAATTAAAAAGCCGGGTACTTTTGAATTTTTGATTGTTGTGTTTTTTGACATTGTTTATTTCATTGTCCTTTTACTTTTATTATCATGTGCGATATATGCAAGTCGATAATAAACTATCTAAGTTGTAATAAAATATCGAGTTCTTCGGTTTTCGAGATTGTTAGACATAGGAAATGTTGTGGAAATTTTTCCAGGTTTAAATCGCGTACATTTGTTTTTTCAAACAAACCAACGTTTCGGGCCCTTTACAGGTCCCATGGTCACGGTTGACTGTGAATAATGGGAACGGTGGGGTTTCTTACTAGTCAACAGTTTTTTTATAAAAAAGAAATGGCTCGCACTTACTCCAGATATTTGCTACAGGTGCAGGTTCTTTCTCCTTTTGTATCAGAATTAATGTGCTATTTTGTTTATCTATGTATTTGAAGAATAAGGTGCTACCGTCTTGCAGTACTTTAGAGCACGGTTTTGCTTTCCTATGTTCATGTGCTTTGATTTCCGTTTGATTTAATTTCATAATTTCACGGTTGAGAAGTTGTCCCGCTTTTTGATCACAAGACGTCTTGTCATGATCATAGTTGCATTCCGCATAGTCGGCTAGTTCATCGCATCTGTTGCAACCCTCCTCGCAAATGTTGCAAAATTGTCCAGTATAGTTGTTGCCTTTTGAATCCATGTCAGTACAGACGCAGACTCCGCATTTACAGTAGCCATGTCCATTGCATACCTGTCATAAATAGACATACATTCATACGTATACTACACGTCTTTTTCCCATCGGGGTAGGCAGAGACAACAGTCTTCCACTTGTTACGGTACTGACACTCATCCTTCACCTCACCAACAGGCACCAGTCATCAGCTCCGCACTAGGAAGACCCTGTAAAGTGGGTGCTATGCACACACATAGACAACCACAAATTACATCTAAATTGCAACTGCCTCAGTGACGAACGGTTACCATGCCGGACTGCCGCGCAGAGGTCTTAGATTTGATTCCCGGACCGGGAGAAATATTTGTATGGCCTACATTTATTTCTCTCGTGAGTTTGGGTGTAATTTGTGATGGTCTATGTGTGTGTTCATGGCACCCGCGACACTCTGGGAAACTCTGTCCAAGTACGTTACGGCTACGGGTTTCGTCAATCTTCTTTAATTCATTCTCTCTACATGTTCGAACCATCTAAGCATCCCTTTCTCCATATTTGTCACTACATCTTCACATCACACTGTTCCGTAATTTATCCATCAGATTCATTCCAGCCATACTTGTCAAAGCTCTCATTTCAACTGCATTAATTCTACTTTCGTGCTTCTTCTGCCAAACTCAACATTCGCTACCATTATTTTATTAAAAAAAATTACATAAGAGTAGCAACCAGCACCCCCATGCACAGTCAGTCGTGCCTTTTTAGCCACTTTCCGGCTGTCCATGAAGGTGCGTGCATTTTACTACCATTCACCTGATGCTCTGCGTTCACTGTCCTTTCAATGTCACTTTCATATCTTCCATCACACGTAAACAAAGAACCCAAACACACAAACTCTCTCACTTGTTTCCACTTTTTCTCCTTCAGTCAATATAGTGCAATCCGTTATATCTTCCTCTCTTTTAAAAACAATTACTTTCGTCTTATATTAATTTTCATACCCTTTAAAGCATCACAAATAGACATAAAGAGACAAAAGCTATGCCAGTAAATTATTCAAATACTCAAAGACACTCTCAGCACTCAAAGACACTCCAAAGCACTCGCAGGCACTCAGGCTCACGCAGGCAATCAACTTCAGGAAAGACTTGAAAACATTTCCACTATATCTGGTGGAGTCGCAGCCTTACAATCTGAACAGATTGTTACATTACAGGCGAATGCTCCCGGTGAAGGAGGCTACCGAATGTTACAAGTGTTGCGCAACGAATGCTCGGTTCTCCTTCCTCACCGCTGTAATGTTCGCTGTTGAACGTAACAACGTTACAAGCGAATGCTCGCGGTGAAAGGGGGCGCCCCAAAAGATTGAGAAAATTTACAGCCCCAGATCGACAAATTGTTACATTCTTTGAACTGTGAGATAAGTAGTAGAGTTGATTTGAGTTTTACCAATATTCGTGCTGTCGCATAATGACTAGATTTCCAAATACAACTCTTCAGCCTTTACAATTAAGATCTTCATTGTATATATAAGTCTACACTTACCGTGTTGTAAGGACCAGTACACGGATCTTTATTGGTAGAGCAAGTGCAAGCGCTTCCAATCCAGCCTGGATGACAATCGCACGTACTGTTTGCTAAGCACGTACCGTGGCCTCCACACATTTTCTCATGGGGCGCCGGACAATGATACTTAGCAATTTCGCAATATGCGCCCATGTAGTCAGAAGGACAATCTTGACACTCTCCGCAACTGTTAATGGTAAAAATACTTCGTTGGATCATTATCCAAAGTGTCTTATACTCCGAGGTGGCAGAAGGTAAACGGAAGCATGGTAGTCAACACCTCCGCTATGTTTTTTTTTATAATACCAAGTGACGGGACGAACAAGTCTTACGCCTGGTGGTAAGCGGCACACCCATCCATAGCAGTTGCAGTGCCACTAACATCTGAAGCGCACTCCCACTGCGCCCGTCACCCTGAGACATAAGTTGACAAGGTCCATGTGACTGTAATTTCACCAGCACCCTTCCCCTTTAAAATCGGAATGCACTAATACTCACATTACATTGGGCAGGGGCAGGGCTTCCCTGGACGAACGAGCTCTATGCTTCCTTACGTTACTACGTTACTCATGTAAATACTTTTAATTTAGTAATAAAGGTACAGTTAAGAGCACATCAAGCTTGACACTTTGTACTTTGGATTAAGAGTTGGATTTAAGTCATAAGTGTAAAGCCTGACATGCTCTTGACCCTGTACCATTCGGTAGCGATCGCGACCACGACACAACACCACGCGACCTGCGACATGGACCTGTTACTGCGACTTATTGTTTGTATGGATTAATATGAAACACTGACGGATGCCAGCGATCGCGTCGCGCGACAGATGAGCGTGGTGAGTCTTAACTGTTAATTTAATTCAACTGTTTGGAAAACTTAACCTTTACTGTTAGACGTAAAATTCATTTTGGTAATGACTTCCTTATTGCATCATTACGGTAGCATTCCGGTGTTGGCGACCGCGACCTACGACTATGGTCGGCGACCGCGTGATGTTTATTGTGAATTTATATCGAGCGAGATTTGTATGATCAACGCAATCGACTTATAGGCGTGGCTATCAAGCGACCGCGGTCCTCCTGAGCAGTACCGCCGCGCATCCCGGCAACGTCTCGTTCGAACTCTTAGTATAGTAGATTTAGTGTCTGAAAACCCACCCTAAATGATTCGAGAGATACTGAGATAACATATTAGGAGAAAATATGTACATGGGAAGAAATTGGCAAAATGAGTGTGTCGTCTTTGTCTTCCTTTTGGTTATGGATTAATTGTTTGACACAATCGTACTAAGCACCAGAATACAACCCATAGTATTAAAACTGCGGGAAGACTGGCGATCGGTCGCGGTCACTTGGATCCGTAAACTATTGGGCGCCAGGCGAGAGGCGACCAGGAATGCGGCCACCAGTCGCTGTCGCCGGTCGCCGTGATCGGCAACATCGGAATTCTACCTTTAGTGAATAACATTTGAAAAGACTTTTTAAGGCACTTTAACTACATTACATAAATACAAACTTCCACGATAAAGCTGGAATTTATTTACACTTTTCTGTAGAATGTTTAAGAAGGCCCTTAGAACAAAAAGGTCGGCTAGAGGATCAGGTATCTTAAGGCATACATTATACTCGTCTTAAATTATTAGGCTTTTCGCTTGTTGCCTCACGTCCAAATACTTACGATCTTTTCCTGTTTCTGGTGGACCGTGTTACTGAAAACACAAATTATAACTCACTTGCACAAGGCTCGTCCACTGCAAACTTGGGTGTCACCTTTGTTTGCTTTACACTTCTCAATATCCTCCTCTTCTGAAGAACTCCCTGTACATTGACATTTCTCACCATAACTGCAAAAAGATATTAATTTTAATATCAAAAATAGGTTCGCGTTTGTCCACATTATCACCAAATACAAGTGAAGAAAGAAATTATATTGAAGTATTAACAACACTGCCAAGAATAGTATTTTAATTTTTCATGTTATCTAATTATTCTGTAACTGTCGATATATTTGCGTAATCATTTAAAATATATAGAATGTAATTTATGATGTTAATTAATCCTAGTAATTTAAATGAGTACTTCAGTTGTTCATTTCCTACCCGTGCGCCACATTGTTCGATCGAATCGGCTGTCTCTTTGAGAAAGACAGAAAAAGCGGTTCGCGATAGGGAAGTGAACAATTCTAGTTCTCCTTCATATTATGAAAGTGGTTGTGAGTGAGAAACTATTATATTCGGCGAGTATGCTGATATTATACTAATATACTTGTTAGAAATTATGCTATATCTCTGCTGCGTATGTAATTGGATGTTTTGCCAAATTATTTATAAAATATATAACCCTTGTTCGCCATTATACTCGATATGATACCAGTAGACATTTGGAATACACATTATATTTATATTTACTGAATTATATCTAACATGTACTGCCCACCAAGTTACTCGAGTAAATTATCTTTGTACCTAATGTTGAGCTGTTTCATTTACATGCATAAAAAAAGTGATTTATTAACACGAGGAATAAGCTCACAAATATGTTTAAGGGGCATCTACACTATACGCTTCCGTAATAAAATCCTTGTAGATGTTAAACATTTGTCATCTACGGAGTTTAAACTATCAGGTAACAAACACTTCATTTCTGTAGTACTTACATACTTGTAGTACTGGTGAAGATGAAATATCCACAAAAGTGTTAAAGTATGTATGTGATATTATTTCCCCTCCTTTAAGCTACATTATAAATCAATGCATTGAACAAGGCATATTCCCAAGAGAGTTAAAAACGACAGTAATAAAACCTCTCTACAAAAAAGGTAATAAGGGCGAATTGGGGAACTATAGGCCAGTTGCTTTAATTCCAGTAATGTCCAAGATTTTCGAAAGAGTAATATTTAATAACCTATACTCATATCTTGAAAAAAATAATATATTGATAGACCAACAGAAAGGCTTCCGTAAGAATAATTCATCAATTTGGCTATCTACGAATTTCTTGATAAAATATATTCTAGGATGGACAGAGGTCAGCCCCTTTCATCATTATACATGGATCTAACCAAGGCATTTGATTATGTAAATCATAACACGCTTTTGCATAAATTGTGGGTATACGGTGTAAGAGGCAATGCCCAGAAACTAATAAAATCCAACCTTAAAAATAGACTTCAGTCAACACACATTAATAAAGTATGTCCCGTATCCAAAATTGAGAAGTTTTATGCATCATCACAGTACAGTCATCACATAGTAAGTCAAAGAGTACCTCAAGGTAGTGTATTGGGACCATTGCTATTCTTAATATACATAAATGACATTCCTAAATCAATTAACGACCCTATGATATTGTTTGCAAATAACAAATATAAATACAAGTTTGAACTCTATTATTGAATGGCTTAAATATAATGATCTAGTTATAAATCTTGACAAAACTAAAGTTATGAACTTTAAACAAAGATACAATAAACCTATGCAAACTAGAGGGGTCTATGAAAGCCAGGAGGTCGGTGAAACAATGACAATAAAGTTCTTAGGTTTATATATAGATAATAATCTAAAATGGCAAACACACCTAGAATATGTATGTGGTAAGATACTAAAGTTTTCTTATGCATTGTTTAGGCTATCGAAAATAGTAAATTTAAACGCTCTAGTGACCGCCTACCATGATTATGTAGCAACCACCCTTAGGTATGGAATCATTTTTTGGGGAAATGCACCGCACATTGAACGCATATTCAAAGCCCAAAAGAGATGTATTCGGGCTATATGCGGCTTGAAAAAAACAGATAGCTGTCAACCACATTTTAAAATTTTGAAAATACTGACTACCATGCTTATATGTATATATTTGAAATTTCACTTTTCGTAAAGCGTCATCTTCATTTATTTTAATTCGTCACACGAGCCGTTCTCATAGACTGAAAAGTAGATCATGTAAAACTGCTCTACTTCAAAAGAGTGTAATAGTAATGGCTACGAAGGTATATAACAAACTTCCACTTGAAATTAGGAATTGCAACGAATGTGCAGCATTTAAGAAGTTATTATTTAATTACCTAAATGATTGGACATTCTATAATATTGAAGATTTCTCATAAAATTTACATTTCATATTATTAAATTTGTTATTGATTATTTTACTATTGTTAATATGTTTCATTAGTATTAGGTTGCATTAATTGGACTGCATGATTATAATATTATTACAAGTTATTGCATGAGAATGACTAAAACTAAGAAAACTTTGTATGCCATAAGGCGGATCACAGTGATTCAAAATTCATTCTTGTAACAACTTTATAACCTGTGTATCACAAAGAAATAAATGATTTGATTTGATTTGATTTGCTTATAGGGGTTACGACAAAATCCAGTTTTTTTATGATACAAAACGGGACGAGCAATTCGTGTGCGTGATTGTAAGCGACGCGCCTAGCGCCTGTCCATAATAGTTGCAGTGCCGCTCAGCGCATCTTATGGGCACTACCACTGCGCCTGTCACCCTGAGACATAAGTTGACAAGTCCCATGTGCCTGTAATTTCACCAGCACCCTCACCCTTCAAAACCGGAACGCAGTAATGCTCACCCACATTACTGCTACTAAAATTGTTTTAAAAAAAATTATCTATTTGGTTCTTTCAGGTTTTTCTATTTAAGATATTTTAAAATTAATACGATAAATGATAAGGTGAACAAATATTTTTACAAAAAAACAAAACCTGGATTTCGTTATTCATTTTTTTCAATAGGCGTTTACCAGTTACATAAAGTTTGCTTACCCATGAAATAAAGATATTTTGAAATTGAATTTAGACACTATACAGGATTAACAAAGAACGAGAAACACGTAGAAAATTTTACTACTCCGTGGTCGAACATGAAACGTAGCTCTTCTAAGGCTAGGCATTCTTTTTAATTAAGCAAATGAAATTTGTTCTACCGCTTTATGAAATTTACATTTTTTTTTTTTCAATATTAGTCGCTGGAGTAGATTATACACAAACTTTAAGTTGTCTAGGAACTTGATTTTACATATTTCTATTTCGTCAACTTGTTTTGTCCGCGTTTTTGGAACTTACCATGGTCCCACTTAAATGTAAATTAAAGTAAGATACAGTCTTACCTGTTTGTATTGCAGTAGCAAACACCACATTGATATGTGCCATTTCCACTGCACTCACTCGAGTTGGCCTCCCCGTGTCTTTCACAATCGCACTTACACAGTATTTCAACATCAACTTCCACTTTGGCCTTCAACAATGCTGGGCCAATTTCCATTGTTCCCTCGAAATTGTCATCTGGACAGCTATTCATTGTAAGTGTAACATTTATTCCAAAAGGTTTCTCGTACATTATTTTACAATTATCTTTCTTGACACGACACGGAGGATCAAGTTCAACGTTTATGAAAGATGGAACAGACGTACTAGTCATCATAAGTTCTTCTGTTAAGTTCTGTAAAATGATAATATGTCTATGTAATTTCTGAAAGACAAATAGATTTATATACTGAGTAGTCAAGTACTGTTGGTGTTTATCTTACCTTATATTGCGTCTGAATTGTATCGACAATCTCCGATTTTTCCTCTGCAGTGTTTTTCAATTCAACAATTCGTGCATTATCAATATTTGTGCCTAAAATTTCGTACGTGTTTTTCACTTTCTTCAATACAGCAAATAAAATTGCGATTTCATTTTCTTTCGCAACCTTATTAATCTGACTCACAGAAGGATAATCATACAGCAAAGATTGGTCTGTCTTGTATGTGTTATTAGTGAGATGACATTTCATATCGTTGGGTTTGTATGCCCCAACCAGTTTACCATCGCCTGCGCTATGGTAAGGAGCGTCTGTAGACACTACTATCAGCTTCCAAGATTTTCTCCAATTTATCTCCTTACAAACCATAGCCTGCATCAAAGCGTCCAATGTAGCCTCTTGGCTGTCATAGTTTCCAGAAGAATACGTTTCGTTAATTGTTTTTATAGTTTCTACAAATTTATCTATGTTGTTACTCATGGGAAGATCATTTCTAAAAGCGTAAGCTTTATGAGTATCAGGACTCGGACTGCAATCATGAATTTTCTATTAAAATTAAAAATTATGAGGCATTCAATTTATATACATCCTAAATAAGTAATTAATATACAATATATTCTTAGGTTTTCGCGATTGTTACACATAGGAAAGGAAACTATTTTTCCGGATTTAGATCGCGTATATTGTTTTTTTTTTCAAACAAACGAACGTTTGGGGCCCCTTCCAGGTCTCACGATCACGGTTGACTGCCATCTCAGTCCAAAAATTGTTTCATTTCATATAATTAATATCAATTTAAACAAAACCAAATTTTACTTACTTGGCAAAAGGAAAGGCATGTTTTTCTATAAAACTCCCGACACCGAAACGAACATTGTTGGTCAACTTTGTTAACGATTGATAAATCATCTTTGCTTCATTAAATAACGTTGTCATATGAAAACGCATTGTGTACGAATTGTCCATTAGAAAATACACATCCAAAGGATAGTTTTTTGCGGGCTTATAATACAATTTAAACTTTCTCGATTCACCTGGACGAGCTTTGAACGAAACCTTTTGTGGTCTTAATTGTACGGGGTTCTCGGTTGAACTGGATAATTCGTAATTTTTTACTGTTGGGTCAAAAGTAGAGAATGGATCTTGGAACTCTTTGCACCATTCGTTATTTCCATCTTTAAATGTTCTTGACTGACATCTTGAACCTTTGTGGTCTTTCTGTAATACAATTTGTAACATTTGCACGCCTGTTACGCCATTATTCCACGAATAAAATTCAAATCCAAATTTTAGTATTTAATCTGAGTTGTAACCATAGATATAGGAAGTTGTAACCTTCCTTAGTTCGATTTTTTATTCGTGTGGATATGCCATTCTTCCACAAGTATTTGAATAAATATTTACGGAACAATTTCATTGAAATTTTCTTTAATATCAACATCATCATCCCATTTATACGTCCCACTGCTGGGTCGGACGGGTCTCCTCTCATACGAGGGGGTCTCCTGGCCCAATGCGGGTTGGGGACTTCACACGTTTCCTGAGGGTTATGAACTTTCTTCGATGTACAGATTTCATCACGGTGTTTTCCTTCACCAAAAAGCTGGTGGTATATTTCAAATTAAATTGCGCACATTAATTCTAAAACTCAGAAGTGCGGGTCTGGATTCAAACCTACGGCCTCTGCCTCTGCTTGAAAGGCGGTAGGTCAAGTAGGCTACCATGGCTTCAATATAATAATTCGTAAATTATATTTTTAGAGTTACTGATTTTGCTTTTATTCAATGGGAACATTGTTATAGTATTGTTACATGATGACAATCGCAGGTTTTTCGGCGTGATGAAAATCAACAACAACCAAACAAAAAGTCAACATCAAAGCTTACAATCAACTGCAACGAAAGTAAAAGACGCATTATGCAAATGAAGCTTCATACTTAATATTGTTGTATACAAGATTTGGTCCAGTACTATTTATTTGACAATATTTGTTTCTCGAACGAGAACGAGATTAGATCCACTGATCTCAAAGTTACAAAATGTCTATACTATACCCCCTACTACTATAACCCCTGAACGTCCTAATGCCGGAGAACTCCCCATCCTTTTTATTTATAATATCAAGTGGTTGGACGAACAGTCGTGCGCCTGATGGTAAGCTACACGCCTGTCCACAGCAGTTGCTGTGCCACTCTTTAAATCGCAAATATCTGAGGCGCACTGCCACTGCGCCCGTCACCCTGAGACATAAATTGACAAGTCAATAATGCTGACATGATTGCTTGCCGGCAGAAATAAATAAGGTGACATGTAATTACATATATATTCGGCGTTAAATTCCAGTTTTAGCCGACTTCAAAAAAGGAGGAGATTCTCAAATGGATAGTACTTTTTTTAAAGAATGTTACGCAACTACTCTAACATTTGTGAACCGGTTTCGATGATTCTTTTTTTTGTTGGAACCGCTTTCCTACGTATCTCAGTAGTTATCCCAAGTAAATTTGAAAACAAAATATCTGAGGTTGACAAATTAGGGAAACGAATCCAGTTTGAATTTCATCCACTTTCCCTAACCGATTTTAATAAAACTTGGCACATATATTAAGATGATTTCAACTCAAGTAGAATATTATGGTCACCTAGAGCTAAATCTGATAATGGAAACGGCACACAGATGGAAGGAAATCCGGAAGGGAGGAGTGTACTGCAGTTGCCTTGTATTTGGGCTCATATGATTCGTTTTGATGAGACTTCCATCTGCGATACAAGTCATTAAGGAGGCCGCGGTAACGAACACAGCGATAGCAAATAAGCAAGATTTTGAAGTCGGTTTTTTTTAAGTTATATTATGTGTCAAAAGTCACTTACATGAGTACACCAGACGCAATTTAGTTTGTTGCCGATACAACGCCCACACGTCTTGAAATCTGTGCAAGTTTCAGCTTCGACAGTAAGAATACTGTGACATAAAAACAAAAATATAAATAATAATGAATTCATTGTGACCACCTTTAACAATTAACAGTGAACTATAGGATCATCGCTTCTAGAATGCATGTTCGTGTACACATATATCATCATCTAAACCACAAGGAAGGAAAATAGTGATGTGCTTTCAGTATATATTATTTTAAATACATGAAAACATATAAAATATCGTGCGTACTACGCTTCAATTCTATAAGGCCGCAAATTCGAAACGGTGCTATGAGGAACCGCTTAAGAAAGCCGTGCCAAAAATGGTTTTTGTACAAATCAGGGATGGTACATATTATGATATGCCTAAAAAATAGCTACGAGAATAATCTACATGAATAAACATGATTTAAACTTCTACCAGCTACTATTTTGTGGCAGAGAGTAGTCAAATACAGTAAATGGAAAAATGTTAAATTTGTTTTTTGTTCGGTACGAATTCATAGTAACATGGCAATAGTAATTATATAAGTATTGTACGATTTCGGAAAGCTGAAAATATGTACTTTCTTATGGAGTACATAAATTTTTTGTATACATACCCATCAACGAAATGTTCCGATGATATGCAGTTTTTGCTTATCTTTAATTATCAATTGGAGTTTTGACTGTTGCCGATAAACGGTGTTATTTCATAGGAATACTAATATAATTTAATAGGATGAAAAAAATGCGATTTCCTTGCACAATATTATGTTAATCTGTCAATACGTGATATTAAGGATATTTTGTTCTTATCACGCAAGCGATGTTATGGCTGTTGCCCGCTAATAACCTTAGCCCTCACTGACCTGTGTTGGCTGGAAGAGATATCTTTTAGAGATAAGTACACCTTTCCTCACCTTCTGTTATACCAATATTTCTGTTGTATTTATTTGGTGCAATAAAGAATATGTATTATATAACATATATAATCAAAATTAAATAACAAAACTTAATAACATAGGAAATTTATTTAAAAATGTAAGTGTACTCATTTTAGTGCAGCGGCCGTTAATGGGTTAATATAAATTCACATTTATTATATTTTTTCCTTATTTTTGTGTCGTGGTTCATAATTTAATTTCTAACTACCAATTACAATGGTCGCCAAATTGTGGCTTTTTTTGTTAATGCTAAAATGTTGTGCTTTTGTAGCATAGACTTTGCGCGGCGATCACAAAACTTGTGGCGTTTATTGTAGATAACAAAATAGTTGTGAACTGAGCTATAAATATAACTTACCTTTTTTTTTTAAATTTAAAGTTACGATAGGACATGGTAGACACGACTTGGAAACTACTTATAAGAATCCTATTGAAATATGTACAATGACGTTTGCTGTGATGATGATGGATCATGCCTTTTTTTTTACTTGTTTTTTAACCGACTATAAAAAAAGGAGGAGGTTCTCAATTCGACTGTATGTTTTTTCTTTTTTTTTTGTATGTATGTTACGCGATAACTCCGCCATTAGTGAACCGATTTTGATGATTCTTTTTTTGTTGGAAAGAGGGTACCTCAATAGTAGACCCATTTAATTTTGAAGAAAATCATCCACCTCTAATGGGGGCTGTTCACGCATGATAATTTATTTTTATAAATAGCGCCTAAGTTTTATTATAAGGAGGAATAATTTTAATGGTTGATTTTGCTATTCTCCAAATCAAGGCGTTTTTCTCTCTCAATATACTTTGAGTAGTGAGAACCGATTTTTATTACCTCCTGTGTCAAGTTCCTTATAGTGGCGAACTAGGGGATGAATCCGGGTTTACGCACTTTCCGGTAATCGATTTCAACAAAACTTGGCAAATAGATGTAATTTCACGTACTTTTGAGGTCGGTTTTTTTAGTACTCTGTTCTGAGATTATTATAACATCATGTGACGAGACGGACAAGTCATGCGCCTATTGGTAAGCCACACGCCTGACCATAACAGTTACAGTGTCACTCAGAACTTAAAATTGCAAAGATCTGTGGGGAACTACCACTGCACCTGTCACCCTGAGACATAAGTTGACAAGTCCCATGTGCCTGTAATTCCACCAGTATCCTTACCCTTCAGAACCAGGACATAGTAATGTTGACATTACTGCTTGGCGGCAGAAATAGGTAAGGTGGACGATGTCTGAACATGATCTTTTATTAGAAACTAAAGCGTATCTTTAAGTCATTGTGTTAAAGTTGTTTTATCAACTGCTAAACAACTCTTTTATGAGTAGGCAGAGTTCAGAGGCACCAACTTTTCGACTTCGAATCCTTATTCGCAGCTTTCGAAGTTGAGGTACTAAATCCATACAGTTCCAACCCCCATTCTTTGCACAGAATCATATCTTAAGAAACAATGGCAACATGGAACGTCCGAAGGTCAGCAACTTCCTTATCCAACGTTGCATACAAAGACGCAGAACCGTTCATATTTTAACTACTACGTTGCATCTACTT